GGGCAGGCTTGGCTTACTGGGGGGCAGGCGAGGGGGCCCCGGCGCCCCTGGCCCAGGCTCAGAGGCCGAGCCTTTGTTAACCGTGAGCGATGGCGGCGGGGCCCTCCCGCCTGTCCCCAAATTGAAAGTTTGTGTTTACGAGGTGCTGAGCGTCGACTAATTTTTTCCTATCTGGTTGGCTCGCCTCTCCCAGCTGGTAAATAGGAAATGTTCGCGGTGGGGAGCCGGCCCTCTGCAGAGGGTAAACAGATGGAATCCATATAAAGTGACAAGTTAGATGGAGCCAAAACCGAGAACATAACAGCCAGGCGACTTCGTTCCAGTTCATTTAGCCCTGAATAGCGCCTCGTCGCTGCACAGCTGCGTGGCGCTCCCGCCGCACCCCCCCCTCCTTTCTTCTGGGTGGATAATGACAATTTCAAAGAAAAAACTTTAATTAAAGATTTTATACGAAATAGCCAAAAGTAGAATAATAAGGCAAATGAGTGCTGATGTGCTGATTGTGGAGGCTTGTGCAGGCCGCGCCTTGCAAACGCTCCCGCGCTCCGAGCGCTGCAGCAGGAGGCGCCAGACAGACAGCAGAGGCACCGGCCCGTCCCCACCCCTCAGGCTCAGTCCCGTCCTTGGTCCCCTCCTGCCAGGGGAGGTGAGAAGGGGCGGCCTTGGGAGGGAGCCAGCCGGAGCCCATCAGGTGAACTTGTCAAAGGGCTCTAGGATCTGGGGGTCCCCCACCCCTTCCGGTCTGGCAAGAAACAGCTTCTCCTTCAGGAGGGGCCCCCCAGAGCCGGGGCTGGACTAGTTCGCAGTTGTGATGGGGATTTGGGGCATAGGGGAGGAAACGTCAGACCTTTTCTTGTCTTCTGGAAAATTCTGGGTGGCCCTGTTTATTGGGGTTCGGTACTCACTGTCCTGGAGCTCCAAGTGTGCAACAGGGCACCCACACGCCCCCGATCTGCTCTTCACGCCATATTCGCTGCCTTTGCTGGGCCAGCACGTCCTGGGAGCACTCAAACTCTTCCGTGTCCAGGTCTTGCCCCTGGGTGTGACAGCGGTGGGTCAGCACAGCCCACCTGCGGCTGGGACCTCGTGCTGGCCTTCAGCTCCTGCACCTCCAGCTAGAAACGGAGTCAGGCGACCCCTCTGCTCTCCCTCCACCCTGTTGCTAGGGTCTGGGGTTATCCAAGGAAAGGGTGGGTCTCTGTCCCCCCACCTGCGTTCCCTGGCCTCTCCCCTCCTTTCAGCTCCTCCTCCCATCCCTGGGCTGTGTATGTCCCATACTTGGTACACACCCGCAAGTAGGAGAGCTGACCCCCTGGGTCTCCCCTGAGCCCATATGTATGTCCATGCCAACAACAGCACACACTCCTGCTCCCTGCCCCAGCTCCGTGTCTGTCCAGTGCAGTGCCTGGGTGGTGCAGGCAGCCAGACCATCAGAACAGCCCACCTGTGTTCTCACTGTGTTGCCTGTACTTTCTCTGCCAAGATTCCCTGGATACCCAAAGCGGTGGTCTTCCCATCTGTTCATCTATCCATCCATTCATCCATCATCATCCATCCACCCATCCTTCCATCCACCCATCTATCCATTCATTCATTGACCCATCCATCATCTATCATCCATCCACCCACCCACCCATTCATTCATCCATCCATTCATCCATCCACCCATCCATCCGTGAAACATTGGTCCATTCATCCATTCGTCCATCCATCTGCCTATCCTTCCATCCGTCCAACATTGATCCATCCACCCATCATCCATCCTTCCATCCATGAAACATTGGTCCATCATCTGTCCATCCATCCATCCATCCATCCATCCACCCATCCATCCATCCATGAAACATTGGTCCGTCCGTCCGTCCATCGATCCATCGATCCATCGATCCATCCGTCCATCCATCCATCCATCCATCCATCCATCTGTCCATCCATCCATCCATCCATGATTGGTCCATTCATCATCCATCCTTTGTATTTCCTTCCATCTATCCATCCAGCATTGGTCCATCCATCTATCCGTCCATCTATCCATCTGTCTGTCCTTCCATCCATCCAACATTCGTCCATCCAACTGTCCATTCTTTATCCATTCGTCCACTCCCCTTTCCATCATCTCTGTCCATCTGTCACCCATCGTTTCTTTATTCACTATAGGTCTCCTTCTCTGCCAGCTGGCTTGGCCACAGCCTCTCCCATGATGAAGTGTGTGGCGTGGCTGCCTTTGGCTGCTGTTGAGTCGCTGTGGGCTGTGTCTGTTCTGGGGATGATGTCTGCCTGCTCGCCCCATCCTCGTGTGCACGGCACGCCCTTATTCACCTCTGCCTTGCAGATGGAGTGCAAGTTTGGGAGTTAGGTCACCGTGGCATGCTGCCTGGCTCCTCACTCTCATCTCGGAGCTGGTGTGGGTCCACCTTCCTGGGGCAGCTGAGGAGGGAGGGCAGAGCTTAGCCTGGCCAGCAGGCAGCAGCTTCTCCTCTGCTCTGCTCCCTGGTTTCCTTGTGTAGCGCCCCTGGAAGGCCACAGACCCACGACAGAAGTGTTCTGTGCTGCTCCACGGTCTTCTTCCTGCCGTCACCACCTCTCTCTGCCCTGGCACGAAGTGGGGAACCATGGGGCTGTGGCCACTCATTCCTGGGCCCTTCTGTCCTGGTCATGACTGGGCCTGGGCTCCAGCTCCCTGGGGGGTGGCAGTGCCCCCTGCTCTGGGGCCTGTGGGGGACCTGGATGCATTAGGGACCCGGGACCCATGAAGTGTGCAAGCATGAGCCTGCATGTGCGTGCACACGTTTGCTTGCCTGTGCGCACGTGTGCGACAGAGCCTGCACGTGCACGGCCGGGTCCGGGCTGGGGTGAGGTAAGCGTGAGGCCCAGAGACACTTGGCTCCGGCAGTTGGGAATTGATGCCAGTTTGTGCCCGTCCCCGCAGTGGCAGATGCAGCCGCCGCCTCCCGGCTTCTTTCCCCCCAGCCTCTTGGCCCCTTTCTGTGGAGCAGGCGCTCCGGGTGGGGTGGGGCTGAGCTCCGTGGTCCCTCACCGTTCTTTCACGCTCTCTCCCCCTCTCCTCTGCCGTGGGGGACCAGCCGCGCACCCCACCGCCCGCCCGTGTTGCCTCCGATAAGCCGCGCCATCTGCAGCTCCCCTCGCCTCCTGCCAAACTCCAGTCTGACGGATGATAAGAAACTTGGAGACATACCTCCGGTGGGTGTGGGTTCCCTGCCAGCCCCGCTGCTGGCCGGCTCAGCGCGCGCGGGGGCCATCTGCGTCGTTCGGGGTTTTAAAAAGCGCATCGCGGCTCCTTCTCGTTCTGGTCCTCTTTGGGGGGTGGGCGCGGGCTTTGGCAGCGGGCGGGGCTGAGGCTCGGGTAGGCCACGGGAGCGAGCGAGCGACCCCCAGCTAGCGGCTTTGGCGCTTCTCAACTTGGGGGACGCTGGGTTTGGCTGGTGTGCCGAGCGCAGTGTGGAGAACACCCAGGACAGACGTGGGGGTGCAGGGGCGGCACTCGCCCTGCCTGGTCGGCAGGTGGGACTGCCCCACCAGTGGGTGTCTGAGTGTCCCCGCAGGGAACAGCGATGTTGGCTGAGCCGGGAGGGGTGGGAGTGGGGTGCAGTCCTGCAGGCGGGGGTGGGGGTGCGGGAGGACCAGGGTTCTGAGGGAGCATCTTGAGCGTTGCTGCAGGGCTGGGGGGTGGGCCTCATGTATGTGGGTGGCTCGGCCAGTGGTAGTGTACAGATGGACATCGGCCCAGAGGGTGAAATGGACAACCAGGATGGACCTGGGTCCCGGAGCGGGCAGTCTGGGCTCTGGGCTCCACTGTGGGCAGGGGACAGACCTCTGCTTGGGGGACGGGGAGATGGACAGACGCGTGCACACACATGCAGACACACAGACCTATGCACACATATAGGTACACGCACATATATGCACGAACACACAGTGTATACATATGTATACATGGACATGCCCACACAAAGATTTGCAGGTGTGCACACATATGAACACACACAAACATACTTGCACACGTGTGCACACACGAACATGTAACACACGAACACATTTGCATGTGTGCACACACCGACATGCACACATGGATACGACACACATACAGACATGCTTGGATGTGTGCGCACACGTGAACACACACACACACACTCACACACTGACTGTGCTCTTTTCTCTAGAATCCTGTGCAGTGACGGTGCCCTTTCCTGACCAGGGGCCGGGCGTCTCCCTCCCAACATCCCACCGCCCTCTCATCCTGCCCCTGTGCACCCTCACTTCCTGGGTGCCCTGCTGTCCTGGCTGGGTGTTCAGGAAGCCACTCCAGGAGGTGCCATGCTGTTTCCCATCACGCTCGTCACCGTCCCTCGGCTCTCCTGATGGGCCCTGGGGACTGTTGACAGGGAGGGGGCTGAAGGGATGGAGCGGAGCCGCGGGGGCAGCAGAGGCCCTGGGTTTGGTTCCAGAGGGGCCGGGGGCGCCCAGACCCGGGCAGGGCTCAGCCGTGGCGGCTCCTTCCTGCAGGTGGCCCGGCGTGATTTGGGGTGGGCGTCTCGGGGAGACGGGTCAGAGGGGTGGGGGTCTCCGTGAGGCTGTCAGTGCTGCCTGGGAGGGACTCGGAAGGGCAGACAGGCAGCTGCTGGTGAAAACAGGAAGTCAGAAGCACCGATTTCCCGCGTGCTCCGCTGGAAGTGCCGCTCTGAGGGTCGATTCTCCAGGAGGGTTCCAGGGTGCAGAGCGGGAGACGTGCCCACGGGCCTTGAGCTCACTCACTGCCGCAGGATTTCCCTCTCACACAGAGTCCACTTGCGGGGAAACGGCCCTGGAAGCGGCGGGCATGGCCGCAGTGTCTCTCCTGCAGGACCCGCAGCTCTGAGTGTCGAGTGTCGGGAGCGGCTCCCTGGGTGAAAAGCGCGAGAGCGAGGCTGCAGTGCCCACTGTCCTTACCGGCCGGTCGGGCCCTCGGCGACTCTGTCCCAACTCACGTTTTGTATCCGCAGATTCTCAAAAACATCAAAACCATCTCCAAGGCCTTCAAGCTCCTGGATGTGAACAAGACGGGGCTGGTGCGCCCGGAGGAGATGAGGCGGGTGGTGCAGACCTTCTGTTTGCCGATGGGAGAGGACGAGTACAGGAAGTGAGTGGGCCGGGCGGGGCCTTCCACAGACGGCATGCCCCCAGCTCCTAGAAACTCTCCGGAATTCTCCCCTAGGAGACCTAAGGGTCCCGGTTCCCTCAGTGCCGGCAGCCGGGGCCCCAGGGGGTGGCTGAAGCTCTCGTCCCCCCGGGCGCTCTCTCTTCCTGCAGACCTGGCGCCCTCTGGCCAGCTTCATCCTTTCCTGGACCGGAAGGGTGGGCGTGGGAGCTGCGCCACTCCCGGGATTTCTTCCCTAGGGAACTGTCCTGACGACACCAGACGCATCATTTTCCTGAACTGCTTCGTGGCAGTGGAGACCAGGCCACAGGTGCCCAGCCACTGGGCAGCGGGGAGCAGGCCTGTCCTGGCTGGCCTGCTGCCTCAGCGTTTCTGGGAAGCCAGAGCTTTGGGTTCTTTGGCTGCTCGTGTGGGAGGAAGCTGCTGGAAGGCGGGCCTGGGGTTCATTCACGCTTTACCCCAGAGGGCCCTTCACTGGCCATCACCCAAAACCGCCACGCTCAGGTTTCACCCTGAGCCGGGACATGGCAGTGGTTATTGGCCGATGGTCTCTTGTGGCCACTGTTTTAGTGTGGCCTCTGCCCAGAGCAGGAAGGGAAGCCCGGAGGGTGGCCCTGGGCACGGCTGGTGCAGTGAGCCTGGGTGACCGACAAATGTCCCCGTCTCGAAATTGCCACCTTCCCCCGCTTCCTAACCCACCTCAGCATATCAAAGATATAATAGATGTTTTAATTTTGACATCTTTCTGCCTGGGAAAATGTCCAGAATAGGAGCCAAACAAAACAAATTAAATAATTTTGTGCACGCGATTATGGAACAGAAGCCACCCTCTTTTAAAACAGGCAATCAAAAAACAAAAGTGTTTTATTTGACAATAAACCGTGTGCTTGGCACTGCAGTCTCCAGCCCAGTAAATCCATAAAAAAAAATATGTTACTGTTTCCCCAGCTCATAAGTATTGAATAATAAAGAACTCCAGGTTTTTTTTAAGAGCCTCAAAAAAAAAAAGAAAAGAAAAAGAAAAAAGAAAAAAAAAACAGTAGCTTGTCGTCATCTACCGGAGATTCCGGAAGCTCGGCGGGTCCCTTCCTTGGCGAGGGTGGTGGCCGACCTGTCCCACCTCCAGTGGCAGGACTCGCTCCGCCTTGAGAAGCTGCTTCTGTTTCCGCTCTGCCTTTGCCGTTGGAGCCGGGCGCACTGTGCATTCCGAAACCCTCCTCTCCCTCCTCCCCGACAGCCTCATTCCCTCTCCACCTCTGTGGGGGAGGATGGACGGGGGGGGGGGGGGGGGGGCTTTGGGTCACCTGGGCTGCGGGGCAGGGGTAGGGACTTGATTTTCTTTTCATTTTGAAAATTTTGGGGGGCCACACCCAGTGGTGCTTGGGGCCGACTCCTGACCCTGCTCTGAGGGGTCACTCCTGGCAGTGGGGGGGGAGGGGACCCGGTGGGGGACCAGGGATGGAGCCCCGTGAGCCGTGTGTGAGACCAGGGCCGCTGCCTGGAACTGTTTGTCAGACCCCAGGTTTTCTTCCGTGGACGCCTCTTGCTCACTCAGTACGGGGTGTTTTGGGGGATTTTTTTTCTGTGGGGACTAGTACCACGGGGTGGGTCTGTCTGTCCTCATGGGTGGGCCGCAGGGGTGATGAGATGCAGGGAATGGCCGGATTCTCACAGCAAACAGACAAGCTGGTGGCAACTGTCACCAGTGGAGCCCCCTCCTCTGGGAACGGGCAGGGGGGAGGGACAGGGCGCCTCTCCCCCACCCCAGCACAGGGCCCCTCTTAGCTGTCTTGGCTCACCCCCGCCGCTCGCGATGGCGAAGGTGATTTTCACTGCCGGGATTCAGGGCCTCTCACAGCGGGCCGAAGGTGTCCCTGTCCTGAGCGTGACCGCGCTCTGTTCGATTTGGAAAATAAAAATAACAACAGCTTCATGTGACAATCACTAAATTTTTAGAAAGCCGTGCAAAAGGAGATAATTATGGAAACCAACACATATGGAGACCATATAACCAAACATTTAAAAAGTGTCATTTTTTTATAAATGTAATAATGCAGAAATTATCTAGAAAGCCATTTGTCAAGTGGACGATTTGAATAACAGAAACTCCATTTAAAAAAGGAAAAAATCTAAGTCCTATTTATTGTAAGAAGAGAGAGGGAGGGGAGGAGGGAGAGAGAGACACAGAGACAGAAGGAGAGAGAGGGAGAGGGAGAGAGACGGAGGGAGGGAAGGGGGAGAGAGGGAGGGAGGGAGAGACAGAGGGAGAGAGCCGGAGGAGGAGGGAGCGAGATGGAGAGGGAGAGAAAGAGAAGGAGATGGGGGAGAGGGAGAGAAAGAGAAGAGGGACAGGGGCTTGCACCTAGGTGAAAGTCTGCCGCTCAGGGGGCTGCCAGGGGGTAGGGTTGGGAGTGGTGATGGTCGTTGACATTCCCTTCCTGGCCTTTCATTTCTGCTGGAGCTTCTCAGGGTCTTACCAGGCCTTGGTTCTTGTGTTCTGCCAGGTTGGCAACTTCAGGCCAATGACTTCCCAGGAAGTTTCCTGCCGTTGCCTTGGGAGGGGCCTTCCCTACCTGCTGCCTGCCTACCTCAAGAGGGAGAGACAGAAGGAGACAGAGGGAGAGGGAGAGAAGGAGAGAGGGAGAGAGAAGGAGAGAGCGGAAGAGGGAGAGGGAGCACATCTCAGCGTAGTTTAGGGAGCCGAGTTTTCGGGAGGTCCCTGTGGGGTGGTTCCTGGCTGCGTTCTCTGGAGAGAAGTGACCACAGTGCTCCGGGGAGGATGAGGCTCCGGGTGACTGCCTTGGGCCCGCCCCCTCACGGCGGAGCCTGTTTCTCCCAGTGAGAGTGGGGAGTGGGCCTGGGTTTCTCCGCTTGTTGCTCCGTGCTGGCCGGGGCCCACATCTGCTTTGTCCCCTGCAGAGCAAGTGGCTCCCTGGCATCTCAGCCCCTGCCAGGAAGGGGGGAGGAACCTGGGGCGGGGCTGGCGGGAGCCCCCTGTCTCCGCCAGGCCCCGCCTGAGAGCCAACTGAGGCATCCTCCCGGGGACCTGAATCTCCGACTCCTGTCGTAGCACTACAGGCGCTGCCTTTTAATTCATTTATTTGGGGCCTCCCCTGGCGATGCTCAGGGCTGATTCCTGGTGCTGCACCCAGGGATCACACCTGGCAGTGCTCGGGGGACCCGATGGGGAGCCGGGGATCGAGCACAGGCCAGCCATGTGCCAGGCAAGTGCCGTCTCCGGCGGCAGCCACTCCAGGGTTTGCCGTTCCCTGCAGAATCTCCCACCCATCAGGGAGGACGCTTCGGGGTCCCCTTGGCGTGGGGATTCCTCAGTCCGGCCGCGTCTGTTTCAGGTTTGCCCGGTACTACCGCCTGGACGAGGAACCCGCGGTGGATTACAGTGCGTTTCTGAAGAACCTGAGCGTCAATAACGGCCTGAACCTCAGATACAATTTTGGAGACTCAGGTGAGCCGCGGGGCTGCTTGGCCATGCTCGTCCGTCCGAGGAAAGCACGGCCCGCGGCTCTCCTGGGAGAAGAGACGCGTGGCCAAGACCGGAAAGAGGCTCCCCCGGCCCCTGGTGCGCGCAGGTTCCTGGGGGCTCAGCGGCCCCCCGGGGCCGTGCTGAGGGGCATCAGGGAGTGACTGGAGGGAAATGCTGCGTGTCTCTCCGCGGGGCGTCTCTGGGGCCGTTCTCGTCTTCCTGCTGCCTCTGTGTTTTCAGAATCTTTCAGAATGACTCTGATGGGGAAAGTCTGTTCTTTCTTTGGGTTCTGTTTTGTTTGGGGCCACACGCCCCGGTGCTCTGGGCTTACTCCTGGCTCTGTGCTCAGGCTTCCCTCCTGTGCTGCCGGGGGATCAAATCCGGTCAGCCACGCGCAAGCGCCCTGCCCTCCCCACGGTCCTCTGTAGCTCCGGCCTCTGAGGGGAGGCTTGGTCTAAGATGGATGACGAGGTACCGGCCACCAGCGGCCAGGCCTCTGCAGGCGGGTGACTTTGAAAAAGATCGTTTGTCCTTGCACTGCCCACCTTGATCCCAGCCTCCTGGCCATGGTGCCTGGCAGCGTCCACCTGTTGGCCAGTTCTGCGGGGAGATGGTTCCTGAGATCTTTGTGGGGGAATGTGGAGGAGGTCGTGGGGGGGGTCTCCCTTCAGTGGCTTGTGGGGGGGTTCTCTCTCGACTCGGGGGTTTTCCCTGTCACTGGCTTTAGCAACGCTTCCCTGGCGCTCGGCCCCTAGAGTCCGCTGCAGGCCGCTTGGGCTGGTGAGCCCCGGGCTGCCTCCCTGGGTGTTGGCTGCAGCCTGGAGGCGGCGTGTGCTCAGGCGCGTGAGAGGAAGTCAACAGTCACGTGCCCACGGCCGGCCAGGAGCTCTGGAGGGGGCAGGCCGGGAGACCCGGGCCGCGTCCTGCCGTTTCCCCCAAGAGTCGCTTGTTCGGGATGCTGACGCGACACACCAGAGCGTGTGGGCTGTGTCTTGGCAGGCTGTAATGTCCCTGCAGCACCCTTGCCCCCTTTAAATCCCCCAACCCTCTGGCTGGGGCAATCTGGGGCCTGCCTGCCTCCCTCCCACTGGGATGACTGGTCTCCTCCAGCCAGGCACCTACATGCGTGTGTGTGCGTGTGTGCGTGCATGTGTGTGAATGTGCATGCATGTGTGGGCATGTGTGTGTCCACACATGTGCATTGTGTACATGCATGTGTGCATGTGTGTGCACGCTCATGTATGTGTATGTGTGTGTTGTGCATGTGTGTGTTGTGCATGTGCGTGCGTATGTGTGCATGCGTGTTGTACATGTGTGTGTGCACGTGTGTGTTGTGTGTGTTTTGTGTGTGTGTGTGTGTGTGTGTGTGTGCCTGGGCATAAGCCAGGACCTCACACATGCCAAGCAGGGGCTTTCCTATGTACTTTCTTTTACTTGGTAAAGCAAACTTTATTAAGGTCCTTCCGTCCCGGTCCTGCTGAATCTGGGGAGCTGGGAGAAGGGACTGGGGATTCCTGGGTTGCCCCCGTATCTCCACGAGTCAGACCCAGAGTGGGATTCCTCTGGAGGCTAGCCCATGGCCTGTGATGGTCTCAGAAGTCTCTGGATCTCTCGGGCACGGTAGCCAGGTCACCCCGCCTTGTGTAGAGCTTTGGTCTTTCTCACCGGGCTCTCCCCTCGGGTCTCACTGCCTCCTCGTCACTGTCCACCCTTTTCCTCTCAGCCATGCTGATCTGCTCCCGGGGTGCTGACCTCGTGGTGTGTTGACGGGAGAGTCCTCTGGGACACAGGGCTGGGATCCTCGTCTGCTGTTGCTGCGTCTGCGTCTCGGGCCTCGGTTTCTGGCAAGAGTCTGCAGCTGCCCCGTCGGCAGGCCGAGGTGCTTTGTTAGTGGCGGTGCTTATCTGCGAGTGGATCTTTCTCTTGCTTGGCAAGCTTTAACTTTCCACCTCACGCATCACCAGAGGTCAGGCTATCTGTCCTCTGTCCCACGCTGTTCCTTCTGATCTCGCTCGTTTTGTCTCTCTGCTTTCTTGGCCCTGTGAGGCCGGCCTCTTGCCCCTGGAATTTGCTCTGTATCGAGTTCCCGTCTGTGCCCGTGGTTCCTTACCAACGCTGCCGCCTTGGCTGTGCTACATTCCTTGCCATCTGCTTTTGTTGTCTCGTTGTCTGGCCGTCCTGAATTCAAGCCCTGATTAAGATGTGTGGAGAGTCAGGGATGCGACTTAGTGGTAAAGCCAGGCGCCTTTGTGTGTAAGGCCCCACACACAACTTTGTGTGTAAGGTTTGATCTCTGGCGCCGGAAGGAAAAATGTCTCCTACCTGCACCCCCCTGTCCCCCCCACCAAAGCAGGTGTATAAAGCGACTCTGGACCTTGAATTACATTTTTGTCCAAGGTGGATCTTGGTGGCCCCCTGAGGTTTTCTTATGTGGCATTTTCATCATTTCAAGAGATCTTGGAAAGGGTCATTTTTATCGCATGATACATCTTGCCTCCATCAGAGTTTGCCTCCAGAGTGCCAGGAAAAGGGAAAAGCACCCCAAATCTTCTCTCCGTCCTTGCCATGCTGGTGTTGCCCTGCCCGTCCTTGCCATGCTGGTGTTGCCCTGCCTTGGTCCACATGCAGCTATACCCGGGGTTGCCAGGAGCCACCCGTCTGCTCCGTCATTCCTGCTGCGTTTCCCCTTCATGCTGTTTTCCTAGAATGAAAAATCATCATCATCTTCATCATCATCATCATCAAACCTCATGAACAGTCTGTCTGCTGTTCCCAGCGTTTTGGTCACTTCAGGGCTTGGTCTTTCCTGAGACCCTGTTTTCCTGGTCCTGGCTCGTGGCTTTCTGGGGTGCTTTTCCCAGTGCCAGAAACCCTGGTGCCCACCGTGGAGGAGATGCATTCTGCAGTGCGGAGCCTCTCTGCTCCTCCAAGGGGACCCCCTTCACCGCGGCCTTCTCCGTCTCTGTGGGGGTCAGCCGGGGCTGGGCAGGGCCTGTGCGCTGAAGACCCTCCCGCTGCCTCTCCCTGTGGGCGTCCTTCTGTTGGCGCTGCTGCGGGGGTCCTAGCTGTGGCCTCGGATTTGCGGTTCTGTCTACTCGAGGGGCTCCCGGGGAGACTCTGCCCTCAAGCACAGGTCAGATGTCCAAAGACTCTGGCTCCTTTTCCCACGCGTTGGCGTCCAGCGTACACCTCTGTCCCCCGAGGCCTGCAGTGAGCTTAATGTTGGGGCGGCGTCTGTGGAGACTGTATCGGCGTCCCCCAGGAAGTTGGGGAGCAGCATAAGGTCACCCCCCAGCAGGGGCCCGGGCAGTGCTTCTGGGCCCCCATGACCTGGGTCACACTTTCACCCCGGGCAGATCTTGGCTTCCCTGCTCCCGGCTCCTGTGGCCCCAAGCGTGGCCAGCGGGTTCAGCCTCCTGTGGACGGGCCTCCCGTGGACCCCCTGGGGCCTGCAGAGCCAGCATGACCATGCCTGAGTCAGGGCCAGTGGGATGCAGTCCAGGGCAGGGCGTCAGAAGGCCGGCCACAGGCCTCCGCACCCCACCTGGCCAGCTCCCTCTCCCAGGCTCCGAGATCCCTCGTCTCAGTGCTCGCTGCAGAGGCTGTGGGTGGCGAACCCCTTCCTGTCGGACCGCCCGAGGGGTGCTTGCGAGGGGCATTCCTTTCCTTTTCTTCCTCTTCGTTTTTCCGAGTTTGAGGGACGTGGTGGCATTGCCGCCGCCTGGCAGTTTGTTAACTTCAGTTGAGTAGTCATAAGCATGCTTAATTTGAGTCAAGCTTATTTGCAGACATTTTAGGAAATAAATCTGGGGAACCATTTGTGATTCTTTGCCGTCGACTTTGAGGGAGAAAATGGTTCTATTGCAGATTTATTTTATTCTCTTTTGTGATCAAAGTAATAGAGGCTTGTTGGAAAGAAAAAAAAAAACCCAGCCAGAGAACAGGAAAGTATGAACTCACCCTCCCTCCCTCCCTCCCTCCCTCCCTGTGATCCAGCCCCTGGTCCCTGAGTCTGAGCTCCAGCTCTGTCCCACGCACCCCCCTCCCCTGCCACTCCCCCCAACCCCCTCCCATGCGCACACCCGCACACACACACACACACACACACACACACACACACACACGGGTAGATGCCCAGGGATCAGTGGATGGATGGGCACAGCACCCAAAGTCCGTGTGAAACTGAGAGTCAGATCAGGCATCCACTGTCTTTCCGAGAACAGGGGAGGGCGAAGGGGAATGTCCGCGCCCGTGAACTCAGACCTGCCCTTTTGTTGGGACCTGTGTGCGCGGGATTTAACGCACCCAGACTCTGCTGAGGGGCGTCTGTGGCGGTTTCCTTGACCCCTCCTGTGAGAAGTTCCCCTCCCCTCCACCTTTGTTAAGCTCCGCTTCTGCCGTTCGATCGGTGTCTGGAGGGAGATTCCAGAAGCTTCCATGGCCAGGCCTTTACATACAGGCTAGAATGGATTTCTTTATTCCTTCCCATCTTTGCCTGTTTGACAAGTGGAAACAATGTTAATTGGCCTTAATTACACTTTAAAAATTGCCAATGAGCAATGAATATGAACGTGTTTTTCATCCATTTGTTGGATTTTATTTTAGTTCTTTTTGTGTGTGTGAATTGCCTGTTTATAACCTTGGTCCATTGTTCTACGAGGCATTTATATTTATCTTATTGTTTTGTGAGTTACCGTATATTATGGAAATTAACTTGCATTTCTCATGTATATTAGCAATGGTTTTTTTTCATTATTTTCCCCCCTTTTCATTGTTACTTGTGTATTTTTCAAAGGAAACAAAAATTAAATATTTATGTTGTCAGACCTGTCCATTCTTTAAGTGATTTCTGGTGCTAATGTGTTTCTTTGAAAAGGCTCCTCTCACAGAGATTACATATCATGCGGCATTTATTTTAATTTTCTTCCACTACTTTTATGGCTTTATGATTCTACTTAGTGCACTTTTCACTCTCAGATTTATCCTGGAATAAGCGGGCAAGTAGATTAATTTCATTTCTCCCCCCCTGAAATGTGCAGCCACTTATTTCAATAACATATGTTTTGGGGTTGTTCAAGTCTCCTTTTCTATGTAATGAAAAGGAAACACTTACTACTTAAATGCACTTTGGCAACTTCAGTGAATGTCTGCAGTCCTGCCTTCACAGATCATTCGCAGGAGAGCCAAGTCAGATGCCCCTCGAAGACGCACGTTCCTCCTCCGCCCGCATCCGAGGATGTCTGGAAGACCTTCTCCTTAGATCGAATCGAGAAGATCTTTTGCCAAGAGGTAGGAGTGTGTGAGAGACAGCAGAGCTCTCTCAAGTGGGACGGGGAAGGAGGGACCTGCGGAACATCACTTATTTAGACTTTAATTTCAAAGTGTTTCCAACTTTGTTTTTATTTTTGGGGGCTACTCGCAGCTTTTCTCAGGGATGGTTCCTGGTGGGCTTGGGGGACCATAGGGGTTGCCAGGGATCAGCCCCAAGTCAGCTGCATGCAAGGCCGACGCCTTTCCCGCTGCACTATTGCTCCACCCCTGAAGTCGGTTCTGATACTTCTTTGTTTTGTTTGGGGGCCACACCTGGCAAAGCTCAGGGCTTACTCCTGGCTCTGTGCTCAGGGATCACTCCTGGCAGTGCCTGGGGGACCTTACGGGCTGCCGGGGGTTGAACCCAAATCAGCCGCGTCACGGCAAGCGCCTCTCCCGCTCCACTGACTCTCCAGCCCTAGTTCTCATACTTCTTGCCTCTTCCCAAACCCTGACGCCTCCTCTGTCTCCTGGTAAGACGGGTCCCTCGGTGACGGTGTTGCTGTTGCGCCTCACACCCTCGGTCTGAGGGAATCTGCCCCGTGAGAACAGAGGGAGACTAGAAGGAGCGAAGGAAGGAGTGAAGGGCTCCTCCTTGGTCTTGGGCCGGGGGTCAGCATTCTAGATTTGCTTCTGTTTCTTTTGGGAAATTTTTATGTATTTTAAAATTTCTTAAAAATTGTTTGATTTTTTAAAACGGAATCACAGTGAGATGCAGTTACAAAGTTGTTCACGATTGGGTTTCAGTCATGTACTGTTCCAGTGTCCGTCCCTCCATCAGTGGACACTACTCCCCACCAAATTTCCCTCCTGCCTCTCTGGCAGGCACTTTTCTCTCTCCCTCTCTCTCCCCCTCTCTCTTCCTCTCCCTCTCCCTTTCTCCCTCTTCCTCTCTCCCTCTCCCTCCTTCTCTTTCCCTCTCTCTCTCCTTCTCTCTCTCCCTCTCCCCCTTTCCCTCTCCCTCTCTTTCCGTCTCTCTCCCTCTCCCTCGCTCTCTCTTGCCCCCCTCACTCCTCCCCCCTCTCCCTCTCTCGCTCTGTCTTTCCTTTGAGAAGCTTTGGTGGCCCACTCTGGGGGTACTCTCGGAGAGGATGCAATGAAGACCTTCTGGCCTGGTTTGGCAGTGGCTGTCCCACCTGGTCTGCAGTGGCAGCAGGCAGTGGGGCAGTCTTATTCTGGGCCTGCAGCCTATGGCACTGCGGCCAGGGCCGTGGGTGGGGCGGGTTGTTCAGCCCCGCTCTGGGGACAGGTTCCTGGGGCTGTCTGGGAGGAGGGAAGCTCTGCCCTTCCTCTTCACACCACAAGGTGCTGATGCTACACGTGCTGGCACTTAGCGTGCGGAAATGATGTGGGGGGATGAATTTCCAGCTCGAGATTCCGGCTGCTCTCAAGCATCGTGCCAATCCCCCAAACCCACAGAGGATGGGAGAAATCTGACCTGCATCCAGGCGAAGAGGCGTGGCATGAACAGGCGCCTCGGCAGGCTTGGGACCACCTGGATAACAGGTCCGAGGCCGCGGCTTTCTCACGGCCTTGTCAGGTTCCGGCATGGAGGAAGTGAGCGCGAGTCGGGGCTGGTGGGAAGGGACACACTTGTTTCCCCCTGGGGATGAATTGATCGTTTTCATTCAGACCTGGCCGTCTGGGGTTCGCCTCGGGCGAGATCAAGTCTGAGACGTGCCACAAAGAAAGTAAGCATGATTACTTACTTCTGCCACCCAGAAATGCTCTGAAGGAAACTTTGGAGAGCCTGATTCTACCCCTCTCTAGACAGAAGGACGGGGGCTGTGCCGGTGGCGGGTGGGCGGGCCGGTAGCTGGGACTCATGGGAGAGGCAGAAGAGCAAGAGGCAGCTCCTCTATGCCCTGGAACCTACCAGAAGCAGAAACACCCCCACCCCCGCTGTCTCAGCATCGCGTGAGGGCAGGGCTGAGAGCTGTTGCAGGTGTCATGGTGCTCGTGGGCACCATATGTCTCTCAGCCTCCTGGGCTCCAGGGCGGGGGGCTTCGTGACCAGCCCAAGGTCTGCGGTCGGGAAGCTGGGGAGCCCCATGTCCCAGAAAACAGCCCTTGCACCAGAGCTTCTCTCATGCGAGGGAGACAGGGTCCCCCGGAGGGACGCAGACTGGAAGGAGACATGGGGGACCTGGGAAGGGCGGCTCCGTGCCGAGACCACCCCTCTCTCCACTCGCAGTTCCTGCTTAGCTGGCTCCCAGGCAGCTGAGAATATTTCCTTTCTGCTGTGCTGCTGAGTTCTGGTTGTTCGGCATAGGTCTGGCGCCCACCCTCTACTCGTGGGCTGCCCAGGGCGTGCTCTTGATTTGGACTTCTTCCCTGGTTGACTGTTCCATTGTTCAGCACTTTCCTTAAAGTCGCATGGGTGTCCTGTTCCTTTGCTTTTTTCTACTGGGCACTGTTTGCCTATTGCCTTTGTACTGGGATAGCTTCTTGCATGGGCATTTTCCTCTATCGGAACACCTTTCCACTCAAACTGTTCATTATCAGATGTTCTGTTTATCCAACCACTCATCCACTTACCCACCCACCCTCCCACCCACCCGTCCATCAGTCCATCCACCCATCCACCCACCCGCCCATCCATCCTTCCATTCATACATCCATCCCTCTATTCGCCCGTCCAGATAACCAGTCCATCTGTTCAGATACGCAGCCTACAAAATTCATCTAAACAGCCCCCGCCATCTATGAATCCGCCCTTTCTCCAGAGCCTTTGGTACCTCGGTTCTTGAGAAGAAGCCCGGAGTCCACTGATTCCCCCTCTTTCTAGTTGATCCTTTTTTCTCTTTGGATGCCTAAAGTATTTTTCTTGAAACTGAAAAAGCGAAACTGAGCCATGTTGGCACAGAACGTTTTGTCAAAGTTTCCTGGAGCACAGAATGTTGACGTGCGTCGTCCTTCATTTCAGAGTCTCCTTCTGCCTTCCTCCTCCCGCTTCCCACTCTGTTCCTCCCGTCTTTGATCTCCCACTTCGCCTTGCTTCCGACCGTCGTCTTTGTCTCTTCTCAGGGACAAAACCTCCTTCCGGTGGCTTAGCTTTCTTATTCATGGGAGGTGTTTCCAGTCTATTTATTGACTATCAATTTTATTTCATCCTGATGTCTAGCGTTTGCGATTTCTGACTTGTTATTGTATGTGATGACATTACTTTTGTCTCTTAGCTCTGAAACATCATTTCTCATTTCTTTTATGGTCTTATCATCTTCAGGTTTCGTTGTTATTTGGTTTGGGGGCCGTGCCCAGTGGTACTCGGGGCTTACTCCTGACTCTGTGCTCAGGGATCACTCCTGGCGGGGCCTGGGGGACCCTATGTGGTGTGGGGGCTCAGATGCAGGTCGGCCACGTGCAAGACAAGTGTCCCCTCCACTGAACTACCTCTCCAGCCCTTTGTCCTCACATTCTTCCTTTTCCTTTGATATAAATGTGCTTTGTGGCTGAGTGTTACGCGGCCTGAGTGACCTGGAGCTTTGTGTCCTGTTAATCCCTCGTGATGGCTCAGGGGCTCTGCGGGTGGTGCTCTCTGTGTCCTCACAGACCAGCTCCTCTGGCCTTTATTTGGCTCTGCGTGGCCGGGCAGCCCCTCCTTTGCCTCCAGTGTGGCTCGAGAGTTTCAGCCCCATTGCTGGTCCTCCAGGAGGGTGCTCGGCTGCTTCTGCCTGGGGCTGGTTGACAGGACGCCCGTCAGCTGTGGCCTTCCCTCCTGGGCCCGGGGTGCGGCTCTGTCCCGGCAGGGGTTGCCTGTTGGCGCACAGGGTGTGCTCCTCAGTGGTGAGCGGGCCTCCTTGTCTTGAGACTGTCCCGCTCAGTGTCCCAGCTCCCGGGGTCAGGACACGGCTCTTTCCAGGACCTGAGTTTTCACCCTCCCCCACCTCCAGTTCGCCACTGAGGACAGTTTTGCAGGCATTTTGGAGAACAGTTTGAGTGAGCACTGACAGGGCCGCGTCCAGCTTAGCCTCTTTCCAGGCACGACCAGTGAGAGCCTCGCTCTGGCCCAGCGGGGGCCCATGTGTCCAGTCCTCAGAACAGCCCTCAGGCTGTTCCTTTGTCCACTCCTCTGGGGCTGGGTGGCACCGGGACAGGGGCCAGCAAGGGCCCTCGATTGCTCAAGGACGGGGAGAATGAGACGTGGCCGCGTTTACTCGCCCAGCGGCCACCCGATGGTGTGCCAGGGGCCGCCTGCAAGTAGACGTGGGTCTGTGTCACTCCCCATTACGAGGGGAAACGAGAAAAACTTGTGTCCAACCTGAAAGTGGACGGGGCCCATTTCTACGGGACTCTGTGCGTGTCTCTGGTCGGGTGAGAGCTGTGGGCCGTGAGTCAGCCCCGGGGCGTGGTCTTTCCATCCTCTGCCGCTTCACTTGGTGTGTTTTACATTTCGTCTCTCTGCGGACCATGCCCGTGAGGGCCTGAGAGCTGCTCCAGGCTGCCGAGGGACGCTGCCTTTGCTCCCCGCTCTGCCCTTTCGCAGGGCCTGATTGTGTGAGAAACGCCTTCTGGAAACAAAGGCCCACGTGTTCCTGGGCACTAAGGCTCCCCCAGACATCCCAGGCTTCCTGGGCCCCATTCACGACCCCCTGCTCCCAAGGCCAAGGGCAGGTCGAGCTGTGTGTCCTGAGTCGTCCGTGTTTCATTGGTAAAATCAAACATGGAGTTTCTTGCTTCAAGACACCCAGCCCTCTGAACGCCCTGTTTCCCCACTGACTCTGAGTGCCCTCAGGGACTGCAGTGGCACCTTCCTCCCTTGGTGGCAAATATGTCCATGTTCCAGCAGCTTTTTAAAGAAGACTCCGCCACCTCCCGCACCAAAGGTGTTTGTTGTTGTTGTTTGTTTATCTTATTCCCACTAGCAGGAAAAAACTGGAATCAGGCAACATGGCGAGGGTCGGAAATACTGCGGAATATTGTTATTACTCAATAACAAACAGCAGGAAAAATCTTTGGAAACAAAGCCCGTCTTCATGGTGCTTTTTAATGAATCCCAATAAAAAACAGTGGTTAACCTCCTTTACGTCATTTTGCGAGTCCCCTAAGCAAAACTCATTCACTCTGTTCCTTCGTACAGTCCCCATTGAAGAAAAAAGGGAAAGAGAAAGAACGTAGGAAATGTCCATTGGGTATCAAGTTTACACAGTCTGGGTGTTAATCATTTTCTTTCCTGTACGAGCCCCTTCTATTTTTAATAAAATGTTGCCGGCTCTTTTTTGTTTGTTTGATTGACCCGACTTAATCATGAGAAGCAACGCGTGGGCTCACAGTAGGCATGGCTTGGAAGCATATTAAGAGAGATGCATCAAACTGGCAGGTCCACCGAGTATTTTTAGCTCTAGAATTTGAGGGAGAGCTATTATCTGCACTGTTTTTTTTCCCCGGGAAGCTTGTCTGCCTTGTCAGTTGCATGGCTGGGACGGGGAACGCGACTTGGTAGCGAGTTCATCAATTAAACATGGCCCGTTCCGCACCCGCCACACTCCCCCTTTTGATCCAGAATGTGCAGAGGTTCTGGGGGAAATGAGCCGGAGAAGCGGCTCCGGGGAGCGGATCTTTCTGAAGGCAACGCTCTCATTTTCAATTCCTTGTAGTTTGCGAAGTCCCGCGAAAAGGTTGAGAAAGCCCTGAGCGCGGGGGACCCCGCCAGAGTTGGCCGCGTGTCTCTCAACTACCTCAAGATTGTCCTCGACGCCTTTGTGTACCGGATGCCCAGAAGAGTTTTCATCAAGTTAATGAGAAGGTAGGAGACCCGGGCGGCCCCGCGGCCCCCGCCCCCCCAGACGTCAGCCACTGAGGAAGAGCCTCATTTATTTTTCATTCGTGCTCGAGACTGTGGGACCCCTGGAAATTGCAAACACGTGTGAGGAGTGAAGAGGCTGCTGCTGCCCCTGGCCCAGAGCCACACGCACGCACGCACGCACGCATTGGCGTCCCACCCGCCTTGCTGTGCCCCGGAGACTCCGGGCCCCAATGGCCTGCTTCATGGACCCCGAGTGGCACAGTGGAGCCGAGAGCAGCCGCACACCTGAGGGCAGAGAGAATCGGGGGCCGCAGTCGAAGGCAGCGTGGCAGCTGCCGGGACCTACCGGCCACAGTCCCTTCTCATCGTCATCACTGCTGGGGCTTGAACCGGGGCCTCCCTGCCCCGCCTGCAGGGCGTATCCCCCACCCGCCGGCCATTCTCTGCTCATTCCGTGTCTGCTGTCTCCCGCCCACAAATGCCTGTAGACACCTGTAGACAGCTGCAGACTCCTGTAGTACCTGTAGATGCCCGTAGATCTGTAGGCAGCTGTAGATGCTTGTATATGTCTGTAGGCTCCTGTGGATGCCTGTGAACGGCTGTAGACGCCAGTAGATGCCTGTCGATGCCTGACATACCTGTAAAAACGGCTGTAGACACCTGTGAACAGCTGTAGATGCCTGTAGATGTCTGTGGACGAGTGTAAATGCCTGTACATGGCTGTAGATGCCTGTGGGTGCCTGGGAATAGCTGTAAATGCTTGTAAACAGCTGTAGATCCCTAGAGAAGGCTATAGATGCCTGTATACGCCTGTCCATGCCTCTGAACAGCTATAATGCCTGTAGATGTCTGTGGACACCTGTATAGACCTGTAGATGGCTGTAGGTGCCTGGAGACAGCTGTAGAAGCCTATAGATGACTGTAGGTGCCGGTAGGTGCCTGTCAGCAGCTGTAGACACCTATATATGCCTGTAGATGTCTATGGATGACTGTAGATGCCTGTAGCCGGCTGCAGACGCCTGGAGACAGCTGTAGAGGCCTGTAGGTGGCTGTAGGTGCTTCTAGTGCCTGTCAGCGGCTATAGACACCTGCAGATGCCTGTATATGCCTGTAGAAGGCTGAGTTGGCCGTAGACGGCTGTAGATGCCTGTAGGCGGCTGTAGTGGCTATCGACAGCTGTAAGTGCCTCTGGGAGGGGGGGCCCCCTGGGTGTCAGCTCCTGCTGTTGGGTGAAACGTCCGTCCGGTGGTGATGGTTATTCCGGAGGTCGCTGATAGATTTGGTTCCGGGCTATTAGGCCGGGGCTTGGGGAGTGGCCAGCAGTGTCTGAGGGTGCAGGGAATTCCTGGGCCTTGTGGAGGCCAGGAGCATGCCCCGTGGACAGTGGGGCAGCTGGACTGGGCGCTGATCAGTGGTCCGGTTCCTCTCACCAGCTGCCAATAGCGCGTCCCCTCCTGTCTCTGTCCGGGGTCCTTTTGCCTTGCTGGGGTTTCATCCGTCCGTTTCTTCACCCCTGTGGTCCCCCTTCTGCCAGGCAGGCTGCTGGACTCACGGAGAGGCGGCCTCAGCGGCGAGGCAGGGAGGGGCTCACACTGGGAAAGACTGGAGCTTTGCAGATGCCTGTAGGCGGCTGTAGTGGCTATCGACAGCTGTGAGTGCCTCTGGGCGGGGGGGCCCCCTGGGTGTCAGCTCCTGCTCCTGGGTGGGTGGGGCCACGGTCCCCCACCGAGCCATCCCCAGAGCTGTCCCCTCCGTGTGTTCTGTGGTCTGTGGAAGAGTTGGTGGCAGGACAGGGGAGGGAGAGGAGCGGGGACCCGCCCTGCCGGGGGTCTCCCCCCGGCAAATGTCTGAAAGTCACGCTCAGGGCAGGCCTGAGTCCCCGGGGTTCCTTTCAAGCTTACAGGCACCCTCACCCCCTCGTACTCTTTTGTCCAGCACTTTCCACCCCGACGGCCTCATTCTCCTGCCCTGCCCCACACCCTGACACGGGGGTCCAGAGAGCGCAGAGCGGGCCGGGAGCCTTGTCCGTGGCTCGTGGCGGGTTGCCTCCCCAGCCTTGTCCCTCGCCTCCTGCCGGCGGCCCACCACGTCCATTTTATCCCCTTTTGTTCGGAATTTTGTCGTGATTCAGTCGCTGCTGCGGGCGGAGGGGCTGCTTCCCCAGCTGCCTGCTCCCTTCCGCGTCTGTGCCGCCTCACTGTTCCAAGTTTATGTTTTAATGTAATCAGATACATTCATCTTCTTCCTTTGGAATTGTCTTTGTGCTCAAAGACCGGCCCATTCATCATCCTCGCTCGGGCTCGATGAAGACTCCCTCCACGCTGCCGGCTCCCCTTCCTCTGAGGACACAGAGAAAACCTGGTTCTGTCCCTCCTAGCTGGGCCCCGTTTCCACTCCCCCTTCTCTCGGTGCTCCCCTGGCCTCTGCCCGAGGGTCACTGTCCCTCTCCTGGGTCGGAAAGCCTGAGTGAGAAGCCCCGGTGGCTTGGTGGTGAGGCAGGATGTCCTGACCCCGATATTTCAGTGGCCTTTCCTGCTCCCCTGGGCCTCCCTGTGCAGAGCCAGAGTCATGCCCACGGCAGGAGGCTCAAGGAGAGTCGGGGAGGGCGCCCCGGGGAGCACACGACCTGCTCCCAGCCAGGGGGACTCTGACTTGGACACAGCTGGGCGCACCCCTGGCCCGGTGTGGGAGCCTGAACAGAGGACCGTGCTCAGCTTCCGTGCCCGCATGCAGTGACGGGGCTCACCTGCAAGAGGCCAAACAGTGTGCTGGGGCATGGGGCGGCACCGGGGGCTTCTGGGGCAACTGACGGGTCCCTGTGCCTGCGCTCGTGGGCTGGGGAGGGGCACCACCACCAAGCCTCCCGCAGCCCACGTGAGCCGCAGTGGTCCCAGGTCCCAGGTCCCAGGCGGTCCCTGCAGCGGTGAGGGCGCAGGACGACCACAGACAAGTCTTTGTGTTCACATGGCTTTCAGCAGCAAAGGGATTTTATTTTATTTTATTTTATTTGCTTTTTGGGTCATACCCGGCAATGCACAGGGGTTACTCCTGGCTCTGCGCTCAGGAATTACCCCTGGTGGTGCTCAGGGGACCATATGGGATGCTGGGAATTGAACCCGGGTTGGCTGCGTGCAAGGCAAACGCCCTACCCACAGTGCTATTGCTCCAGCCCCCAGCAAAGGGATTTTAAAAAGAGAATTATTTTTGTTACTGGGGGCCACTCCTGGCGATGCTCAGGCACTCCTGGCTCTGTGCTCAGGGATCACTCCTGGCGGTGCTCGGGGCAACCATGTGGGATGCTGAGGGTTGAACCCGGGTCGGCCGCGTGCCAGGCAAGCGCCCTCCCTGCTGTGCTATCTATTAAAAAATTAGTTTTTCCCCATATTTAGGCGGCCTCCCAAGCAGTGCGCAGGGGCCTGGAGGTCGCTCCTTGAGGCACTTGCCAGGGGCATGTGGGTCCAGTAGTGCCGAGGTGGCTGGGCCTGGGCCTGCAGCGTCACTGGCCAGCAGACTCAGCCTCTCATGCACTCCAGCAGTGACATCTCTCCGGCCCTTTCTGGGGCCATCTGCAGTGCTGACCGTTCCTCTTGGAGTCAACTTCCGTGGCTCCCGCTGTGGCTGCCCTTTCAGAGGCATCGCTTTCCAGCAAGTTCATTTAGAATTGCTTTGTAGGGGCTGGAGCGGGGAGGTCACTTGCCTTGCAGGTCAGCGGGGAGGGCTAATCCGGGGTCGATTCCTGGCATCCCATGTGTTCCCCCAAGCACCACCAGGAGTGAGTCCTGAGTAAGGAGCCAGGAGGAACCCCAGAGCACTGCTAGGTGTGACCCCCCCCCCAAAAAAAAAAGAGAACCGGTCTGTAAATATATCAATCCCCTTTCCCCACCACAAAAACAAACCAAACCACAAAGCTACAGACCAGACTCCCCGCTGGGTTTTGGAGTGAGCACCTGGAAAGGATCCGCCCTGGGCGGACCACCCCTGTTCCCAGCCCATCTGTTTCTCACGTGCAGTTTTGTTACTTGTTAGGTCATGTTCATTCCCGAGTATTTCAGCTGTTGTCGCATTTGTTCAAAAGGAGTATTTGAGGGATCAGAGTGATAGAATAGCGGGGAGGGCTCCTGCCTTGCACGTGGCCAACCCAAGTTCGATCCCCGGCATCCCATTTGGTTCCCTGAGCACTGCCAGGAGTAAATCCTGAGTGCAGAACCAGGAGTGACTTCAGCACCACTGGGTGTAAGTCTCCCCAAAACCCAAATTACTCCTGGCAGTGCCGGGTGTCACCCCTGAGCATCACAGGGTGTGACCCCAAACCCAAACCAAAACAAAAACAGCAGCTCAAACACATGTTTGAAGTGTCCTTTCCTGTTGGTGGTGGACAGTCGGGAGGACAGTGGGTGGCTGTGTCCTGCTGACCCTCTGCGCCAGAGGCCAGCTTGTCCCTGCCTTGCAGCCGTGGCTGCCTTTCCGGCCTTATTCCACATCTTCCAGGAGCTTGGTGGTGGTCTGGAATCTGCCTCTGTCCTGCCCCGGGGAGGGTCTGTGCCCCTGCCGTGTGTGTGTGTGTGTGTGTGTGTGTGTGTGTTGTGTTGGGGGGGTCTGGGCTGATTCATTATTAGGGCCATTTCCCGTTTTACTGCAAGGTTTTGTTTTGTGTGTGTCAAATTCGCTGGATTTTGTCAAGTGGCTTTTTCTCAGCTTCTATTTTGACGAACATGCACTGTTTCTTATTTTATTAAATAGAATATTTGTTCCTGTCTATTGGCCGTTTTCTGATTTTTTTTTCTCCTACCCGAGTGACTGAGCTAGATTGATTTTCCAATGCTAAGCTGGCCTTGCCTGTGGGGTTAGCCCTGCCCAGTCACGCCACATTGTCCTTCCTGTGGGTCACCCAGGTTTAGTTCCTAAACGTTTGTTAAGAATCATGTTTGAGGGGCTGGAGCGATAGCACAGCGGGTGGGGTGTTTGCCTTGCATACGGCCGACCCAGGTTCGATCCCCAGCATCCCATAGGGTCCCCTGAGCACCGCCAGGAGTGACTCCTGAATGCAGAGCCAGGAGGAATCCCCGAGCATCGCTGGATGTGACCCAAAAAGAAAAAAAAAAGAATCATGTTTGAGGTTTTCTTTGAGGGATCCTTCTGGTCCTGGGGGGCCGAGGGCTCCTGTAGCTCAGCTGCTTGGCTGCCCCCTGGCCATCTCGGGGGACACGCCATGTCCACTGGCCTCTCCCCGGCCCTGAGTCTGTTTGGTGAGTGACTGGTAGTTGTTGGAAGCAGCGTTGCCCTGTAAGATCTTTCCCTGTGCTTGAGATCGGACTAGCGCTTACCCTGCTGAATGTGTGGGGTGTTTCCTTTCCCTCTGCCAGCAGCTGTGGGGAGGGCACCCTCCTGAACACCCTCCCAGGCCCCCAAAGCCGCTCCTAAGAACACAGGCACCACCCAGCTCTGCAGGCTGAGGGCCAGTGCCCGTGCTCAGCAATGCCCAGACCCAGTGGTGCTGGGTGCCACGCGGTGCTGGAGCTCTGGCCCAGGGTCCCTGTGTGCAGGCCCATGCTTGGCCCACCCCCCTGGCCCACCCCTCTGCTCTCTGAGCCTCCTCAGCTACCCCATGGCGCCCTCTGAGAAGCCTCTGAGCCCAGTTGTGTCTTGGGGGGAAGATTTTAAAATCATCCTTGGAAAAAAAAAAACACCAGTTATTTTAGTTTTCTATTTCTTCTTTGGTCATCTTTGTAATTTGTGTGTTTTCAGCTGATGCATTTTCCTCTTCATGGTTGAATGTCTTGGCCTAAAGCTATTTACATTTCCCCTGATCATTTCTACTGATTTATACAGATTTGGGGGTGTGCTGCAGCTGTGCTCAGAGACCCAGGGGCCACCCAGGCATTCCTTGGCTCATCTGTATAGTCTGAAGGATCAGTGACACCCAGGCCTTCAGGGCTGGCAGTGCCCGGGGCCATTTGGGGCCAGGGATGGAGCGTGGGGCCTTGCATTCGTGAGGTGTGTGCTCCAGCCCACAGGGCGTCTCTGCAGATGCCCCCTTAGCGCTTAAAACCACCCAACACCTTTTGGGAGGCAGACTGATAGTTCAGCGGGTGGGGGACTGCCTGCACACGTCCGGCCTGGGTTCAGTCCCTATAAGAGCACTGCCGGGTGTGATCCCTGAGTGCAGAGCCAGGAGTAAGCCCTGAGCATCACAGGGTGTGGCCCCAAACCAGAACAACGTCTAACCACACCCATGTCCCTCCACAATTAATATTACCAAAGTAGTGTGGTAGTTTTATTTATTTTTTTACTGTGACGAGTGACCCGGTCAGTATCGGTGCTGCATTGTTAAGTGAAGTCCGTTCTTGATTCCTGTGCTGGGTTTTCCTGACGCTCCCTTTGCTCCCCTCAGCTGTGTCCTGCTCTGCTCAGCGTCCAGCTCCTGCTTTCTCAGGAGAATAGTTACTCATCGTGATTGTATGTTGTGATTATCCATTGTAGCCCGGACGTTTGGAGTGGAACATTGTGGAGACTTAAAAAAATATTTTCCGGGGCTGGAACAATGGCACAGTGGGTATGGCATTTGCCTTGCACATGGCCGACCTGGGTTCGATTCTTGGTATCCCATATGGTCCCCCCGAGCACTGCCAGAAGTAACTCCTGAGTGCATGAGCCAGGAGTAACCCCTGTGCATCACTGAGTGTGACCCCCCAAAAAATTTCCTTACAATTCTGTTTTTAATTTCAGCATTTAAATCTAAATAACTCATAGAACTCAGTTAGTAATTTTTTTTGCCTTATTTTTAATTTTAAAGAATCTGCCAGTGCTTTTGGTGTCTTCACGGCGCTGTACCATTGTCACTGCTGCCCTCCCAGAAATCCCATTGTTCCAGGACAAACCCCTGAACCTGTCGCTGAACCTGTGTTCAGCGGTCGGATTCCCCTCCCGCCCCCAGCTGCAAGGTTAACCCACTGTTGTTCTTGCTGCGGCCTGAGGCGATCGCTCCTCTCAGACGTCCTGTGGGCACTGTGTCCTTCCCTGACCCCCACCCCAGGGCCCAGCTTTCCTTCCAGGAGCACTCGGGCTGTTTCCAGAATGTTCTTGGCAGTCACTTTCATTTCCCTCCATGTGATCTGAAGCACCGTGCTTTAGGGCATTATCAATGATCGGTCCCACATGGACTCACTGCACTGGGGCCAGGGACTACGGCCGCCCTGGCACGTGTGGCCTAGACATGTGGCCGGGGGCAGAGAGGTGTGGCCGGGGGCTGACAGGTGTGTGTGGGGGCAGAGAGGTGTGGCCTGGCCAGGGGCTGAGGGTGTGGCCAGGGGCTTACAGGTTGGCCAGGGCTGCAAACAGTCTCTGGCCGCCTGCTCTCCCCGAGATTTTCATTTCGGTCTGGGCTGCCTTTATTTTGTTGCCGCCCGTGGGAACTGCCCAAGCCCTGGGACTTAAAGCCACACTGGGAGCAAAGACCCGCAAGTGTCCGGGTCCCACCGTGTCCAGGCCCATGTTCCCTCCTCTGGCTCCTGGGACGGATCTGAGTGGCTACCTCCACATCTGGCGCCACCCCAGTGCTGTGGCTTTCGGCCACTTCCTCCTCCTCCAGAGCTGCCGGCACCGCCCCTGCCCACCTCTGTCCGTCTGTCCTTTCCCGGGTCCCGGGAACGCCTCTGACCGCGGCCAGCTACCTCTCGCTGATCTCCAGCCCCATTGTCCATCTCACGGTCACACCTTTCTTCTCTCCTGTGAATCCCTGGCCACACGAGGCCACGAGTGCGGATGCAGCTCTGCAGGCCGGGGTTGGCGCACTAGGGCTGTGGGCCCAGCAGGCCGGGGTGGGGCGGGGGGGCGGGGCGGAGGGTCCACGCCTCGGCCTCGTTCCCGTCATGTGTCCCACTTTACTCAGCAGTTGCCTCGGCCGTCGGGCGGCGATTCCCACGCGCCCACGGTCATGTATTCCCTGCAGCATTCTAGAAAGACCAAATGTCTAGTGATACTCTTTCTATCCAGATTAGGACTGAAGACCACCACCAAAATCGACTGGAGGCATTTTATGTCGTTGTTCAGCGACCCCCACAGCCTGAAATGCCACAGCGCGGCCCCCCTGGTGCCCAGCAGTAGGTACGTGAAAGGCCAAGGGCGGCCAAGGGCGGGAGACTCGGGAACGCCGTGTCGCTCTGCTTCACTCCGGACCAGCAGATTCGCATCTGCTGGCAGCGGCCAGCACTGACCCCCAAGGTCCCGAAAGTTTTCGAACGGTCAATCGCCGTCATTCGGCCCACTGGAGCTCTGGGGCTGTTTCCGCCCCAGGAGGTCGTGGGTCTCAGGCCGCAGAGGGTGACCCCTCGTCTCCGGCCTGATGGCCCTCTCTGCTGGAGTGACTGTGGGGGGCCTCGGAGCGGCCGTCGGAGCCGCTGCGCTTTCTCTGGCCACTGTGTGGACGCGGATGTGATCCTGTGCTGACCGTCCTTGCCGACAGCTTCCAGATAACGGGACCCGCGTGGTCATTACGATCGCTCTGCGCGGTGCCGAGACAGGGACTCACTGGTTTGTGCTGACCTGCCAGGGGACCAGCCTGCCAGGGCAATGACCCTGCACCCGCCCCATTCCCAGATGCATGGGTTTCGGGTGGGGGGGGGGTGCTTCTGTCCCTGTACAATTTAGTCTGACTGCCGGGAGGAGCCAAGAATGAGGCGTGACTCGTACTTGCTCTCAGTGGTGTGATTCTTGTCCGGACTGGGCGTCCCAGGAGAGAGGGGGCCTGCCGGGGCGGGGGAGGGGCAGCACGGTGGCCAGGAGCCTCGCATGTGGCCACCCTGGGTTCAATCCCCGGGACCACACATGAGCCCTGAGCCCGCCAGGAGTGAACCCTGGGCACCACTGATGTGGCCCCAGAATCCAAACGGATGTTGTCATGACTAGGGGAGGGGCTGCCACGCCGGGAGGTCCTGGGTGCTGCTCACGTCTTCGGGCACTGGACAGGGACCCCAGCCTCAGAGCGGGGCTCTCACGAGGACACGGGCCCTGTCCTGCTGGGCTCCTGTAGTCCCACGGAACCTATTCAGGGTTCGAACCCTCCCCCACCCAGCAAACCGCTCTCGGCTCCTGCTTAGTGGGGCACCCAGGGCCAGGGCAGGCCTTTCTGCAGTGCTGCCTCCCACTGACTGTGGGACCCCTCCAGCCCCCCCAGCAGGGCAGTGGGACCCTCACAACCCCCAGCACTGGCGGCGAGACCCTCAAAATCTCCAGCACTGATGTGGGACCCTCACACCTCACAGTCCCATAGTTCCCCCACCCCCCAAGTACTGAAGACAGGACCCTCACAGCCCCTTGAGCACTGATAGTGGGACCCTCACAACTCCCAGCACTGACGTGGGACCCTCACACCTCACAGTCTCATATCTCCCCCGAGTACTGATGACAGGACCCTCACAGCCCCTTGAGCACTGATAGCAGGACCCTCATAGCCCCCCTGACCATTGGTCACCGTCAGTGGGAGTGGACAGGGCAAAAGTGGACATCTTCCTCCTTGGATGCAAGTGTCCAGCTTTGCAGGCGGTCGGGTGCATGACAGGTGGGGCAGTGGGGACAGGCCGTGGGGGCTGGCCCTGCCGTCTGCTGCCCTCACGGCTCAGAGGCACAGACGGGCCACGGCAACTGGGTCTGGCACAGAAGGGGCTGTGGAGGGCCTGAGCCCCCTCCCTCGGGGTCCCCGGCTGCCTCTGAGGGGCATCACACCACACAGGCATGGACCCTGCATGAGGGAAGAGCTGCTGGCGTCTGCCTCTCCCTCTCCACAGTGACTCCGGCTCCAGTGCTCCTGTCCCGCGGCTGCTGAGACAGGCGGGGTTCTGCCCGAGGCTGAAGAAGGCCCTGATCAACCTGCACACTGTGAGCGCCCATCACCCCCACCTGTCACTCTCACCCCGTCACCCTCATCCTGTCACCCCCCACCCTGTCACCCTCATCCCGTCACCTCCACCCTGTCACCTTCCACCTGTCACCCCCACACCTGCCACCCCTCACACCCGTCACTCTCCGTACCCCCACCCATCTCTGTTGGGCTCCTGCTGCCCGGAGGGCCTGGTGGGCAGGCCCAGAGCAGCCCAACAGGTAGGTAGGCTGGACATGCGGAGGACCGTCCAGTGTGTTCTCAGTGGCCTCTCAAGCCGCCCTGCTCCCAGCCCTGGTCTGTGGCCTCTCACCGAGCCCATCCCGGGGCCGGCCCCAGAACCTTTAGCTGCCTGCCCGAGGGACGAGGATGCCCGGCAGATGCCCGCTGGCAGAAGAGCTCGGCTCCATGTGTCCTGTGCATGGCAGCCGTGGACGCTGTCCTTCCTACTGCCCTCCTACTGAGCACCTTCACTCACGGATCTCGGGAAGATGAGGGGCCCTCCAGAGAGCTGCCGGCGTGAAGGGCCCCGGGCTGGAAGGACAGGAGAGCGGGTGGGGTGCTGGTCGTGCACACAGCCAACCCCGTGAGGAGAGATCCCTGAGCACATCCGGTTATGACCCAAAAGCCAGAGCGGGCAGGTTCACTCAGCATCGGCCCTGCCAGCCTGTGGGGCCCCGGGACAGTTCCCAGCTGTCCCTGGTGCCTGCCGTGACCACTTCTCGCCTCTCCTCTGGCATCTCGTCTGGGCTCCGAGCACTGGGAGGCTGGAGCCCCGCTCTGGTCCCCCACTGCCATCACGTCCAGAACCCCAGCTGGGTGGCCTGAGTGATCGCACCACAGTCCGATGCTCCCTGGCCCTGTGCTGGTGGCACAGACGACCGCGATGGAGTGTTGGGCAAAGATGCCCAGATCCGAGTCATCTGTGAAAGGAAGACTGTCCGTTGGACTTGTCGCAGCGAGACCTTTGTCCTTCAGAGGGCCACAGGACTTGAATACCCAGTGAAGGCCGTGGGCTGGAATACAGAACCGCCAGGACCCCTTGCAAAGATGACCTGAGTTTCAAAGCATTTAATCAGAGGACAGCGATTCCCAGCATCACTAATAGCTGGTATTTCGGTGTGTGATGTCCCCGCTCCCAGCACCCATGTCGTCTTCCCTCCACCAGTGTCCCCATGTCCCGTCCCTGCAGCCTGCCACCTTATGAGCACGTTTTAAAGTTTGGTGGTTGTGGCCTGGACCTTGTGTCCTCGGCATCGTGGAGTCTGTGGTGTGGGCAGCGTGGCTGAGCCACGCCGTGCTGCCTGGGGACTCAGGCCTGGTGGTATAATGGGCAGACGGCCGGAATAGACACGTGGGCAGACACGGAGATGGCCAGTCAGCTCCGCGGAAGGCCAGGGACACGCCAGACCAGCGACGGGGAGCCGCCCCGGCCACTGACCCACAAGGCAGCTGGCGAGCGTGTGACGGCAACTGGCGGCAGTCTGAGGTGACAAAGCCGCTGGGGAAATAGCAGTTTGGGGACGTGATGGGTGTTCACCGCCTGGCCCAGCAAGCCCGGCCCCAGGGAAAGGGAAACCGCGGCCTCTAACTGCCACCCCGCCAGGATTGGCGGGCAGATGCTCACGACAAAACGTCCAGTTCCCAGACCAGCAACGGTCTGGCCATCCCGCTGTGCCACGCGCAGCAAACCAAGCAGGAGGAGCCGGGACCAAAAAGGTGGACGGGTGCGGGGCCGTGCCTGAGGGCCCAGCAGGGGCGCCTGAGGGAGAGGCAGGCCGTACGTGGGTGTGGACATGAGGGGGCACGAGGGGTGTGAGGCTTTCTCTGGAAATCAGAACAGCGGGCTCGCCCTTGCTGCTGCCCGTCTGGACACCAGGAAATCGGGCGGCACCGCAGCACCGACAAAAGCTTCTTCCGTTCAGATTTTGGACCCTGAGTCAGGGGGACATCGGCACTGTGCAGCCACGTGACAGCCCCCTCTGCCCCGCGCTCGTTAATCCTCTCTAGCCGGAGGGAGGGGCTTTGTCCCCCTCTGCAGTAACAGCACCTCTCAGTTGGGAAATCTGAGCTGCTGATGGGTGGGTATTTTGGTTTTTCCCTTTTTTAATTCCAGGGGCTGGAACCTGCCACTGCTTCACGGTGGTGCGGTTGATGGGGCGGCTGTAACGGCCCAGTGGAAATCTTCCTCGCCAAGTGATTGTCCATTCACGTGACGGGCGAGGCGGGCGGGGGTGAGCGCGAGCAGCGTTAAGACTCAGGAAACGGCACGTCGGGACTGAGTTGCTGGGGAGTCGGGTCCGGGGGGGTGGTGGACCACAGCAGCCGCCTGGCACTGGGCGTCTGCCAGGTGCACCGGCCCTTCCAGAGAAGGGGCTGAGCTGGGCCCCCCAGAGCAGCTCCTTCCTCCTGGGGACCCTCCCGTCGGGCCCTGGCTGGCAGCACCGTGGGCACCTTTCTGGGCGTTTCTAGCCACCCGAGCCCCCTGTGCCCGCCCCGGTGCCACCCCAGTCACCACGGAGACTTTCTTCTGTCCACTCTGTTCCACTAGCCACACTCGCCCTTAACTGGCACCCCCCCGAGACGCCGTGTGCGCCTCTCCATCTGAGCCTTCTCTGCTCTCCCCGCAGATACCCAGCGGGTGGATAACGGAGGAAGAACTGCGGCGCGTTCTGGAGGGCGCCATGGGCACGGTGAGGGAACCCGAGTTCCAGGAGCTGATGCAAGCGCTGGACCCTGGCGGCACCGGGTCCCTGCACGTGGCCAAGATCCTGGAGCTGCTGGAGGAGAGTGCCCGGGTGAGGGGTCTGCCCGGCTTCCCGGGACGTGGCATGAAGGGGCGGGGGCCACACCCAGCAGTGCTCGGGGGACCCTGTGTGGGGCCGAGGGTGGAGCCGGGGCCGGCTGCGTGTAGGGGGAAGCTGACTCTTCCCCCGGCTCTCTGCCGTCGTGGCAGGGTTGCGTGCGTTCAGCTCTTTGATCTTAACTCAGCCTCTCCCCGCCCCAGTGTGTGGGGGGGCAGGTTGGCATTGCCTCTGCCTGTCCTGGAGGCTTGTCCCTTCCCTCCTGGCCCTGGTGTGCTCCTAACGCCCCCCTCCCCATCAGTGCTTGGTGGTGGTTTTGGGGTCCCGGTGTCTATCCGCTGTCCAAACACAAGCCACATATGGCCTCTGGCACCTGGCGCTTGCTTCCTGCATTCGCTGCTGGCCGTGGTTACGACCTGCTTTGCTGACATGGCCACTGGGCCCCTGTCCGCCCGTTTGCTCGTGAGTGGCCGGATGCCGTCATGACCCCTCCTCTCCCCCTCCACATTGCTCTAATAGCTACACGGGTCTTTCCCGGTTTATGGCTCCCAGTAAGCTCATGCCGTCCCTCCTCCCGGCCCTACCCCCGTGTCCAGATGGGGTTTGGACTCTGCTCCCGGGCTGACCGGAGCCGAGCGGCCAGTCCAGTGGGCCTTCCTGCAGTGAAGCCCGGTTTGTGTCTCCCGCCAGGTGAGGAAAGCGCCATCACTTGGCTTAGATGCCAGGGCCGTGTCCGTGCTGGACTGGGGAGCCGTGAGTAGACCCCTGCCCTCCACACGCCGGGTGCCGCCCCGCGGTGCCGTGCAGCCGGACAGCGCGTCCCCTTGTCGCAGGTGGAGGGACAGCTCCGCAGCGGGGTCACTGAGAATTTCCAGGAGTGCTACGACAGGCTGCGGTCCCACGACCCGAGGGACTCAGGGCTCATCAGCCGAGCTGATTTCAAGGCCGTCCTGAGCGTCTTCTGCCCGTCCCTGACGGCCGGCCACTTCCTGAGGTGAGCGCCGGGTGCGGCTGTCGTCCTGCCAGCCAGGGGCCCCACGTGCTTTCGCCGCCTTCGGGGTTGACTTTGCCATCCCCCCAACACCCTCCCCAGCCGTGTGGATTCGGGATGCGGGGGCAGGCGCGTCTGCGAGAGTGCCCTCACTCCAGCCCTTTTCCCGGGGGCGCCTTGGCTCTTTCAGGCTCAGCAGCAAGTTCCTGGACAGGGCCTCGGGAAGGGTCCTCTACAAGAAGTTCCTGGCGTGCACGGGCCAGGCCCTGTCTCCGGTGCCCGCCGACCAACCCGGGAGGTGAGTCTTGTCCACTGAGCATGGAGCAGCCAAGTGCCCCACCCCTGCCTGCGCACGCCTGGGGGGAGGGGAGCCTGTCCAGCAGGGGCCTCAGCAGGGATCTCCCCGGCCTGAACTGCGAGGGGGGGAGGCTGGGGGGTCGCTTCTGTGTGGCTCTCTCTGGGCTCCCCGCTGCCTGGCCGTCTGCACTCTCGTACCCCCACTTGCGCCCCCACTGCAACTGGATCTTGACGGCGAGACTCATCCGTGAAATCCGGTAGTGTTTCCTACCGTGAACAGCCAGTTAATGAAAACCGTCTCTGAGCTGATTGTCACCACGGAGGCTGCGCCTCCACCGCTAGACCAGCCCCTCCTCAGCCAGGAAAAGCTAGAGTTTAGGCTAATGACAAGATGGGTCTGAACTTGCCCGTTATTGGTGATCCCAGATGCTCCGAGTACGGGAGACCGGCTGGGCCGGCCCCGCTCGTAAGTTCTCCCGAGAGCAGTGGGCGTCTCCTTGGCCCCCGAGTCTCCAGCGGTCTCTGTAGCCGCTGCTGCATGAGCGGGCTCGGAAAGACGGTATTTCGGCAGGACCAGAGCGCCCTGCACGAGGACGGGTCTCCGGAGTCGCGGGAATATGGTTTCCAACCGCCTGCATATTTGTGGAGGTCCCCCAGACCAGGGCCGGAAAGAAGAATGATTTCCCTTGAGCAGCTCCATGGCTGCTCCTCCCCTCAGCCCCAGACGGGGCGCGGGGGACGGCCCAGCCCCCCAAGCACACTGCCCACTCCTCGCCCCTGCGGCCCCTCCACTGTGGTGCGCTCATGTGCGTCAGACCGAGTTGGGCGTGGATGGCCATGGCGGGGCCGGGGGCCGGGGGCTTCCCTCTGTCCCCTACTTACACGAAAGGGTCTGCTTGGTCTCCCGTTCCCAAGAGCCCCAGCCCAGCCTTCGCACCCCCAGAACACAGACACCCTCTACCACTGCCACCCGGCTCCATGCTGGGGTGCAGGGGAGGCCTGCTCCAGGTGGCTGCGCCGGCTGGGCATGGCTGGGGAGGACAAGCCGGGTCTGGTGGGGGCACAGGCTCCCCCTGAGAACCTACTCGCCGTTTCAGAGCCCCGCCTCCCCGGGAGAGCCCCCCAGCCGTGGGCAAAGACGAGGTTAAGAAGCTGGAAAGCTGCATCCGGCGGCAGGGCCCGGCCCTTCGAAAGCGGTTTCTGGACCTCGGTGGAGACCCCGGCAGCAGGGCGGGCACGCCCAGCCCCAGGAAGGTGCGTGGATGCGCTCATGGCCTGGTGGGCCTGAGCGTCCCGCGGGCACTGAAGGGGATTCTGCAGGCCCAAAACGCCTCTGGCCACCTTCCCCGGCGCTTGGGGTGCTTGAGCTGTGAGGAATGAAAATGAGTGTCATCTGGGTGGGGGTGCCCTCCCGGGGAGCCCCGACCTGTGCTTTGGACCCCCAGGTCCAGGAAGGAGGAAAGCGCTGGCAGCCGAGACGCACCTGGGATGGGGCCAAGCCCGCTGACCGCCCCAACCCCCCCCCCCCCGTGTCACAGCAGGGGCCCCTGGGGACAGCCACAGGCTAGTGGCGAGCGTTCTGGCAGGGGGTGTCCTGGGCTGCAGTGGCCCTGGGGAGGCGCCATGGCCATTCCCGCGCCTCAGCCCGGGGGATGGGGGGTGGCTCGCCGCTCCGACCCTGCCCTCAGCCCGTGGCTTCCGCTCACTTTGAAGAAAACACTTCAGCCAACAGGTGGTGTTCTCCACGCAGACACTTGCTGCCGGAAGCGTGGGCTTTATCTCCAGGGAGAGAATAATGCCGCCAGTGGCTGTCGCTTGCCCGCTGCCCACAGTACTGGGCACCTCTGACTCTGACAGAGGGGGGAGAGGCCCCGAGGGGTCGCAGACACGGGCTCCCGACCGCCCCGCATGCCCCAGCCCACAGACCTGACACGGGCTGCAGAGGGAGGGAGGGAGAAGGCAGGTGGGGGATCCAGGAGGGGCCCGTGTTTCCCGTTGCGGACCAAGTGGCTGAAGATTGTCACCAGTGATGCAGATGAAGGCAGTTTCAGTGAGGGGCGGTGAGGACCGTGAGTCCTCCCCGAGTGGGTGTCGGGAGACTCCTCTCACCCCACGCCCAATTAATCACCTAAGCCTGCAGGCTCTCTGAACCAGACGGGGGTCCTGTACCCCAGACCCCCCAACCGGGCAGCCAGTGCAGGCTGCGAGCATGTCCCAGGATCTGCCCGCCCGTGTGCCCGCGTCCTTCCATCCTGGGACTGCTCATCTTGGCCCGGAGAGCGTCCTCCTCCTCCTCTGTCTTCCGCGGCCTGCCGGTCCGGTTCTCATCTCCTGGCTGATCTTCGCCATTATTTTTTTGGCCTTTTTTCTCCCCTAAAAGCATGAGTGTGTCATATGAAATTACAAAGTAAGCCCTTCGATATTAATCCGCACGAATTCATTTTTATATTCATCTAAAGGGGCACGTCCCCATCTCTCCCGAGTCAAACTATCGCCTTTGTCTCCAGAACCCCCGGGCCTGCAGGGCTGTGGCCGCGGCTGAACGCAGCGGGGTTTCTTTTTTATTTAGTAAAACTGATTTTTTTTTCATTTTTCTTTCTCTTTTAAATGTTTACATAGCTATTCTCAGCCAGTTTATATTTTTCCATATAAACTCTATCCAGTCATCCCCCCAATGCCTTATTAGAGCCGTAATTGGACTCACACTCCATTTATGTATTAAAATGTATCTGCCTCTGTGGCTCCCGCTTGCTGCGGGTCTTCCCGCGATGGAGGGACTCGGCCCGTGGCCCGGGTGAAGGTGGGGGACACACTCAGCTCTTGTGCGTAGCTAGGCCAAGGCCTCACAGTAAACTGCTCCGGGGGTGTGGGGGGGGCAGTGGGTCAGAGAGCAGAATGGGGGCAGCATCCCGGGGGCGGTGGCAGGGTCCTGGGGCTGCCCCCCAGGCTTTGAGGCCTTAAAGCCGTTGCCTGAGGCAGCCCCTCACTTGCTTCCGCCCCTCGGGCTGTGAGACATTCCCCTGTGCCTGTTCCCCGCTGTGCCTGTGTCTATACAAGGGGGGGCGGGATGAATAATTCACGGGCTGTTGTTTGCAAAATATCAAGTTATTTTTCAGAGATAGCAGCGTAGCTCCCTCCAGGGGCCCAGTGCTCTGTGCCTGTGGGTGCCGCCCCCCTTTCTAGAGAAGCCGCAGACCACGCAGGGTGGATGCGGTCAGAGTCCCCCACCCCGCAGGCCCATGGGCCCTCTGGGAATCTAGCCCCCGGCGCCCCCCAGAGCCTGGCCCACACCAGCTGTGGGGCAGAAGCTCTGAGCTAGGCTCAGGTGCCACAGGGGCCTTCACCCGCGAGGGCTGTCCTGCAGAGCCCCCCACATCTGTCCTGTGGACCCGCCCCTCTGTGTGCTGCTCTCTGTCCCGGGACCCAGGCTCTGTGCAAGCAGGCTGGGCCTCGGTATCTGCGTCTCCCAGGCCTCCCACGCAGGGTGAAGGGGGCCGCCCGGAGCGCGGATGGGCGCAGAGCAGGGTGAGGCGGGGAGGAGGAGGACGGCAGAGTGATGGGGAGCTTGGTGGTGGGGACGGTGGGGGGGGGTACAGTGGAGGTGATGGTGGCGGAGGCGACGGTGGTGGTGGTGGTGAGGGTGGAATGATGGATGAGACCAGTGTCTCCCCAGACTCCTGCTCCCTTCCCCACACTGGGCTCCCCTCCTGCCCCCGTGGGAGAAAGCAGGGAGCAGACTGAGTGTGAACCCTCCCTCCGCCTCAGTGGCATCAGAACTGGGGCGTGGTAGCACTTGGGCCTGGGGCTCCGTGCCCCACGCATGGGCACCCCTGTCCTGGGCTGGCCTGTGACTGAACACGCACACACACGCACACGCACACTCGCATGCACACAAGAAGCACACAGATGCGCTCACACATACTCATGCGCTTAAGCACGCAAACACATGCACATATTCATATGTGTACACACATGCACTCACATATACACACATGCACACATGCATTCACGGGCACGGACTCGGGCACATACACACAGACGCATGCACATGCACACTCATATACGGACACAGACACAGAATCACCACTCACATACACCCACGCACATACTTGCACTCACACGCACACACATTCACACTTGCACACGTGTACTTACACACACATGCATAGTCACACAGAGACTGATTTCTGTGTCCTTTTCTGGCACAAATGCCTCCCCTAAGTCATGAGTCATGGGGATGGCGACAGCCCCTGACCTGCTGCACCCCCAGAATCCCTTCCTGGGGTGGCCCCTCCAGCAGGAAGCTCTGTGTGTGGCGGGTGACTGGCCATCCACCTAAGCAGGAAGCCAGACGCCCCACGTGCAGGCCCAGTGAGACGACTACATCCCTCTGCACCCTGAGCAGGGGGTCTGCTCAGGCGCCATCATGCAGACACACACACACACACACACACACACACACACACACACACACACAGCCCTGTGTACCCCGGCCACCGAACGCACTACACACGCACCAACACGCACCCCTATACCACTCACATCCATCCCCCACACCCACAAACACACACACCCAGATACCACACATGTACTCACCGTGCACACTCACAGCAACACATCACGTGCCCTCATTACCACACACACCGCACACGTATGTCCCACTCCACGCCACACACACATGCGCACCATCCGCACACCCAAGGGCTAGTGGACCTGTTTTCGTGACCTGACCATCAGGTGAAGCGTCTCGGCGGAGGTCCCCTTCCGGAAGCTCTGTACCTTCCAGGGACACCCAGGCCCCGACGGCACGGGTGGGAAATGCCCCGGTCAGATGGCCTGGCTGTGTCCTCTGCTCTGATTTCCTCTTGTACAGGCGCACGGGGTGGATCTGGAGGTCAAGGGCACGTGTGTGGGAAAGCCTGGGGGTGCCCACGTGCTCAGGCTGGGTGCTGCTGCCCCATCTGTCTGCCTGTGAGCTCGACAGACCAGCCTGGGCCGGGGCGGCGGCAGGGCCCCACCCATAGGGGTAACAATGAGGGGAGCCCTGCAGAAGGGCGGGGCTGGGCGGGCGGCCACACAGCTGACCTGTCCCCTCGGCAGGCTGTAGAGGACAGCGGTGCGTCCCCGGACCATGCTGCGCGGCCCTCGCAGCCGCTCCCCGGCCCCGACAGGATGAATTTCCTGCAGTTTGCACCCGGATCCGACGGTAAAGCACCCGCGGCCCAGAGTAGCCACCGCTCGGGGCCCCCACAGCCCGTCCTCACAGCCCCGGACTCGAGAACGCATTTCTGATATGGGGAAGGGGGGGCCGGCTACCATGGCCCGGGGTAGGGGTCGGAGGGCCCCGGCTCCCTGGGACTGGAAAAGGAAACCGAGGCGTGACAGGTGCCCAGGACCTTCCGGTCCCGGCGTGCATCCCGGGGCTTCTGCGTGCTGAACTGTGCACACCTGCTCTCCGGCACCATCGCAGATGACCGGCCGTGTGGGCTGTACCGGCCCCAGCAGGCGAGCCTCCACTCGGCGGGCGACCCCAGCAAGTTCTACATCAGCGCCGAGGAGTGTCTGGAGGTCTTCCCGCAGCGGGTCCAGGAGCACTACGGGGTGAGCCAGGGCCCCCGGGCTGGGCGGCTCTGCCTTGTGCCCCTGGTGAGGCCCAGGGCCCGCCATCCTTTCTACCCTTCCGCGCGGCCACCAGTCACCGTCTCCTGGCATCTCTGCCTGCCCTGCTGGGGTGCTGGACCCCGTGGGGGACCCCTGCAAGGAGGGCTTCCTGGAAGAGGCGCCCCTTGGGAGGACTTTGGGGGTGGGTGGGGAGAGGGGACTAGCAGAAGGGGCAGACAGCGCGGCTTCCAGAGGAGCCCACGGGTTCTGGGGGGCAGGCGGAGGGACAGTGTGTCCACCAGGAGAAGGGGAGGGGCAGCCAGAGAGCAGGGCGCGGCAGAGTCCCCGGGGCGAGAAGGGCAGGGGGGTGTGGCCTGGCCCAGCTTCCAGGGCTCCAAGATGTTGGCCTTTGCCACGGCCACCAGCCCTCGCAGCGCCCTGTGCTGGGGTCAGAACCGCAGGATGAGAGGCCGGGCGGGGCAGGGCGGGAGCCAGGCACCCCGTCGGAGGTAGGGCCAGAGAGTCGGGGGACAGGGAAGCCATGTGACCGTGGTGCGCCCTGGGGTGGGGGTGGGGGAACCCAGGATGCGTGTGAACGCTCGGGACAGGCCGCTAGGGGTGAGCGAGGGTGGTCCCAAGCACTGCAGCAGGAGTCACGAGACAAGCTCATCCCGCCCAGCCTCTCTGTGGCCCCCCCTTGACCGCTGGTCAATAGATGAGGTCACAGGCCATGCGATGGGGGCGCCCACAGCCCCCACCTGGCTCTGCCCCGGGGTTTTGTTTGGGGGCCACACCCAGCGGTGCTCGGGGCTCCCTCCCGGCTCTGCACTGAGGATCCCTCCTGACACGCGCTGTCCCTGCTCTGCGGTCGCTCGGGCCCCGTCCCGCCCTGGAGGGCTGGGTTGTGGATGGACCTGCCCCGCCCCGCTGACCCCGCCCCGCCCGCAGGACCCCTACGCCGCCTTCTTCAGGATGGACACGGACAGGGACGGCGTGGTGGGCATGCACGACCTGCACAAGCTGCTGATGTGCCTGCTGCTGCACCTCACGCAGGCCGAGTTCCTGCGCTTCCTCGGGCTGCTGGGCCTCAGCCCCACCGTCACGCTCAACTTCCGCGAGTTCCGCAACCTGTGTGAGCAGCGGCCCCTCAGCGAGGACGCCCCGCCCCAGCGCATGCTGCGGTGAGCGGGCCCCGCACCAGCCTCCAGAGAGAACTGGCTGGAAGGCCTGTGGCCAAGCCTGGGCCCCCCACCCCCACGCCTGGTGGTGCCCCGTGTCCACCAGACTCTGGATAAAAGCCCCTGGAAATAGGGAGGGGCGCGGCTCTGGAAAGCGGGACGCCGGAGCCAGAGCACTGGGGAGCAGGAATGTTGGGATGGGCACCCGGCAGACGGGCCTATGTGACCTCAGTTCCTGGGATCAGTGCTGGGAGAGCTGTCATTTGTTTATGATTTTAGTCACATTTTTTTTAAAAGCACGACTGGGAACGATGAGAAATAATCGACTATTTTAAGGTGGTGCATTTGATCTAGTAAAATTAAAATCAAGATCACGGAAGACCCCTTAATCCTAGTGCACGTGCCAAAGGTTTCATGAAGGCCCCCACTGGTAACTGCATGCATGGTAGAAGGAGTTGTATTTCACACGGAAGCCCTCAGTCAGCTCTTGTGGGGAGGATTCTGGCCACACGCCCACCTGCTTGGCTAACTGTCCAGCCACTCACCGTTTATTCCTGCTCCGGTGAGTTCTGGTCCCCTGCCTTCGAAGTCGGCCCGTTTCGTCAGGGTCTCGGACCTCCTGGCAACACCACTGCCCGTGGCCTTTCCGTATCGTCCTGTTGATGTCTGTGGCGTCTCAGCGATGGCTCCGCTTCCCTTCCTGGGACTGGGACTGGCTGTCCCCTCTGCCTTTTTCTGGGTCATCCCGTGAGAGATCGACCCATTTGATTGACGTCTCAGAAGGAGCCTTTGGTGTCCCTGCTGTTACTCTTCTCGACGCACCATTTCCTTATCCCTCTGCGCTTGGGGCAGAGTTTGCTCTCCTTCATTTTCTTCAGCCAGCAACCCAATTTGTCACTTCCTTTCTTTTCTAACAGAAGTCTCTGATGCTCTCAGTTTTTTTGGTTAGTTGCACCCCACAAATTTGGAGGCACAATTATGGCATATTTTATTTCCCTTCATTTTTAAATGTTTTCTGATTTTCCCCGAGTCTTTCTCTGAATTCAAAGATTATTTAGAAGGATTGTTTTTTGATTTAAAAATATCTGCATAGTTTCTAAATATCCTTCTGTTGGTGCTACACAGTTGATGCTGTGGTTCGAAGTATTCTTGTGTGATTTTAATTCTTGCATTTGTAAGCCCTAAAAATGTTCTGTTTTGGAGACTATTACATACATCCTGAGAAGACTCTTATATTTAGATGCCGTTGAGTGGAACAATCTATAAACAAGGTCAAGTAAACAGATTCCATGCCAGTCTCTGCTTGGTTGATCTTACCAGGAGTGCAGAGAGAGAGGAGTGTTGGAGCCCCCTGTGCTGGCCAGGGAGGAGTGTCCAGTCCCCCGTGCGGTCAGGGAAGAGCATCCAGGCTCCCGCCCCTGGCGATGCCTGCTGTGACCAGGGTCACCTCCTTTCTGCTCACCCACCTCCGCATCCCCGGCTTCTGTGCTGGCTTCGCTCTGTCCTTCTGGCGTAGCTTTGTGGGGGCTCGGCTCTTCCCTCTTTCCCGATAGTGGGTGATGCCCGGCCCCCTCTCCTGCCCATTTGGGCATGCTCTCTCCCTCCTGGTCACCAGCCTCTGCCTCCAAGCAGGGCCGTCCCCGCCACCTGGGCTTGGCCCATGGCCTTTCCCCCACGAAAGGAATGGGCATGGCCCTGTGGCCCAGTGGCCCTGCCGCTGCTGGTCTGTCCTTGCAGGTCTCTGGCCGTGAGCGCCCAAAGGCATGGCTCCCACCTGCCCTGACCGTCGCAGCCTCGCTCTCGGAGCTTCCCTGGGCCACGACAGGGTCGCGCCACATGTGTGCTGGTCAGACGGCCCACCCAGGGCTCCGCGTGCCAGGCCAGGGTCAGAGCCCAGGCACCCGTGATGGACAGGGCCAACCGTAGAGGGGGCCTGGTGACTCGGCTCTGCAGGGCCCCAGGCGAGGGCGAGTGGGTGTGTGGAGTGTGGGTGACGTGTCCGGGCCGGCTCCGGGTGGGTGCAGGTGAGCGAGTGAGACCCTGGGGCACCGCAGATGGGCAGGAGCGAGAGCCCGGGGATGCCAGCAGGAAGGGGCACCCACCCTCCCGCCCTCCGGACTCTGCCCAGGCTGCGGGGCCTTTGTCCAGCCCAGGGGGCCCAGGGTTCCGTGGGGGTCCGGTGGCAGTTGGAAGGAGATGGAGCAGAAATCCAGGTGTGGGTGGGGGCGGTGTGGCTCCCGGCAGGGCTGGCTGTATGCTCGGGGGTGCAGAGAACCAGAAGGGGTGTGGGCAGGTGGGGGCACGTGCTCGCCAGGGGTGGGACCGTATCTCTGGCCCTTGGTGCCATTTAAGCAGCGAGGGGGGTGAGTCCACAGCGCCCCCAACAGAGAAGCAGGCGCTGTGGAGTCCAGGTGGATTTAAAGCCGGGTAGGGGGCGAGCACCCCTGCGGGGAGCGTGCCAGGCTCTGTGTGCCCATCCAGGAAGCGGCTGCCGCCTCCTCTCCTTCCCCACGTCTCGGGGGTCTGCGGCGGCTCCCCCAGAGGAGACCCAGACACGGCCCCGGGCAGGCCTCTCTGGAGGGCACTGAGCTCAGCACCCACTGTGACTCAGTGGCCGCCACCCGGAAAGCGAGGGTCCCGGGCTGCTGTGTGAGGCCACCGAGGAAGGGTTGTGGCTTGGTGGGGTGACTCTTGTGGCCGTGATGGGCACTGGCTAACCCGCTGTGACCTGCATTGGTGATTGGTGTCAGAGGTTGAGGGCCATGAGGCCAAAGGTCAGAGGCGGGCTCGGCCGTGAGATGCAGTTCTCGGTGGCTCTCTCCCGCTGCAGAAGGAAAAGTGGCCGGTGCTGAGAGGCCCCTGGGCCCGGCCGTGCTTTCCCCGGTTGTTTCACCTCAGCGGCCTGGTCACTGTGCAGACATGGCAGGCAACTGGCAGTCGAGGCTGCCTTTGCCCTGGGAGCCGCGCGGCCCCCCTCCCCCACTGCACTCCGGGGCTGGGGGCTCGGGGCCCTTCCTCTGCCCACCCAGCGCCTCGACTTCTCTCGTGTGTTGTCGACCAGTGGAAGCAAGTAACGGGTCCCAGGGTCCTGCGGTCCCACAGCGGGGAGGCCCTTCCTCCTCGCAGGCAACCCAGGCTCACCCCTCAGCACCCCGTAGGGTCCCCCGAGCACTTCCAGGAGTGATCCCTGAGTGCAGAGCAGGAGTCAGCCCTGAGTACCCCCAGGTGGGGCTCCTTACCCCCACCAAGAAGTTATGGTTTCCTGGCAGGCCTCCGCGGGGTCTGTCTCCCGTCTCCCCGCGCTGGCTGGCTTTCCGGGGTGCCTTGAGCAGTTCCTAGCGAGCCCCGCAGCTTCTCCCACGGGTGGGCTTCGCAGGGCAGGGTCTGAGCTCACAGTGGGTCACCTCGGGGTCCGGAAACACCTGGGTCCCCTGGGAGCAAGGCAGCCAGGTACCCACAAAGGGCTCAGTGGGTGGGAGACCCGAGGCACCTCGAATTCCTACACTGCAGCCGCCGTGGCCGGCCCTGGCAATGTCCATGGCGTGACTGGCCACACGGCTCTCATGAACGAGTCTTGTGAGCTGCACGGACAGGCCAGTGGTGGGAGAGTGAATAGGGACTTACGGGGGGGGGGGTCTAGGAAAGACGCCAAGCACAGAGCCAGGGGACGACTGTACGGGGCAGGGGAGGGTGTTGGCGAGCCCGTGGCATTGAAACCCGGCCATTTGCCGTTCTGCCCCTCCAAGACAAAAGCAGAAGGTCGTGGACACAGAACTAGCCTGTGGGCAGGCTCATGAGTATCTCGTGACCAAAGCGAGGACCCGATGGTCAGACTTGTCCAAGGTAAGAGTGACCATGCCCCCAGGGACAGCAAGAGAGCCCCCACCATGTTTCGGGGCTGCGGGGTCCTGCCTTCGAGGGGGGGCAGTGTTGGGACCCCAAAGTGACGACCCCCCTCCTTGAAACGGTTTACCCTGGAGGAAGCCGGTGGGGGGGCAGAGGCCCAGCCCCGGGCAGGAGGGGGCGGTGGGCGGGCGGGGGATGGGTGCTGAGGGCAGGGAGCACACCTGCCTGCTGCCCCCTCTGTGCCTGCGCGGCCCCGGGTTCTGCGTGGAGGAGTCTGGGGGCTCGGCCACAGGGTCTGCACAGGATTCCCGTGCCAGGACCCAGCAAGTGGCCGCACCGCCCCTCCTGGCTGGGCCCCGCCTGCAGATCTGCCTTGCCGAGGCTCCCGGCCTCTCCCCAGGCCTCTGTCCGCACTGGGCTCGCCCCCTGCGTGTCAGGAGCCTTCACCCCTTCACGGTCTCAGCTTTGCTGGGAATATAAACTCGGCTTCCCAACATCTTCGGGGCCTTGCTGCGCACACCAGCAGGCCTGGCAAAGGGCAGGGGGCAGTTCCCGTGTCCCTCGCCTCTCTGTCGGTGCACTTGTCCTGTGCCCGAGACCCCAGGGCAGGCCTTGCTTCTATCAGCCTGTGTCCCTGTTGTCCAGGGCCTGCTGGGTGCTGCCTGCTGCCCCAGGCCGGGTCCCCCTGACATCATCTGCCCCTGTTGCTCCAACACTGGGGCCTCGGTGAGAGGCCCAGATACCCCACAGTGCCCCTTGCCCGCATCTCTCAGGCCCCCTCAGTGCTGGGGCTGACCCTGGAGTGCCCCTCTCAGCGCCCCGCACGCCCCCGCAGAACTTCCTGGAGACGGACTCGGACGGGAACGGCATCCTGCGGCGCCGGGACATCAGGAACGCGCTCTATGGCTTTGCCGTCCCGCTCACGCCGAGGGAATTCGAGAAGCTGTGGATGAGGTGAGTGGAGTCGGTGCGCTGCCCGCCAGGGGGTCACCGCGGTGCTTCTGCCCGGCCCCGCTTCCTGGCTCGGGCGCCCCCGTGTCTGTCTGGGTGGTGGCTTTGAGGGGGGCCCAGGTGGAACAGCAGAGCCAACTGTTGGGACTACAGGGGCACAGGAGGCAGCACCCGGGATGGAAGTCACGGCCTCCTGCTGGCCAGGCAGACGCTCTCCGGCGCGGAGCCAGCCTGGGCCCCCCGGCTTGTGTGTGTCGGGGTCCTTGGAGAGACTCTCCTGCGGCCACGCGGGGGCCGGGGCCAGTATGCCTCAGTACCAGGCCCGCCAAGGCTACGCCAGGCACCTTCGACTGCTTCCCAGAAGCGGGTCCTGGGCAAGGACCCAGCCCCGCCCTGGGCAGCCGGGACCAGACACAGCCCGTCCCCAGGGCCTGCCCACGGGGAGCCACGCTGCCCGCAGCTGCTTAGAGGAAGAGATCCAAACTTTCAGCAACCACAAGTGTCTCCCGAAGGCCTCGTGCGCTGAAAATAGCATCCCATGCCGATTCCGTTTCGCGGTGTGTTTCAGACTGAGCCGCCCTGAAACCAGGCCCAGAGCCCGCCCCCACCCCCACGGCCCCGTGTGGAATTCTGGGTGCTGGCCACTGAATGGCACGTCTCTTTCCACGCCCCAGAGCTCTCTTCTGCGCTGTTCTTACTTCCTGTGGTCGCCCCCCCAACACACACACACACACACACACACACCTGTACACACACACCTGTACACACACACCAGGCAGGGGTGGGGCGGGGGGCCAACATCAGTGTCGCCAGGGCAGGCGCGGGGGCTGCATCACTTTCCTGCTTTCCATGTGTTGAGAGCGGAAGGCAGGAGCATTGGCCGAGTTTAGAATTAGGTGGGCTGTTTTCGTGTTAAATTTAGGAATGCAACTTGAAGTTCCTACAAAATCCTGATCTGATTTTTTATTTTAGCTCCGTTCAGTTCTAGCAGCACGGTCGACTTCCCTTCCCAGCAGCCGGCAGGAGCTTCTGGCTGCGTTGTCAGAGGGTAGCGGTGAGCGGCCGCTTCCCCTGAAAGACTAGGCACGACTGCCCAGTGGGGCGGGCACTGCCAGGGGCTGGTGGGGGACAGGAAGTGCCCCTCCCTGGGTCTGTGGTGCAGCATGGACCGCGTTCAGCGGCTTCCAGAGGAGGGGGGCACGGGAGATGCTGCCGGGGTCGGAGGCCGGGGCCTGAGCAGCTGTTTAGGCAGGAGAGGTGGGGGTGTGGAGGGAAGTGGCCTCACTGAGCCAGGGACACTCTCTGGGCTATACCTGGCCGTGCAGTGTGAGGAATCCTGCCCGGAGTCCCACCCGCCAGCCCCGGCTCCTGGCCACCCCATGGCTCTTCCCCCGGGCCTTTGAAGCGAGTCTAGCATGGAGTTTGCCCGTGAGGCCTGGGCTGGGCAGTGGTGACCCGTGGGTCTCAGGGCTTGACCCATCACAGCATCTGGTTCCAGGCAGAGGGCCCTGGACTTATTCGGCATGTCATCCTGTTTTTTGTCAATTGCCTCGAGCAGGCCCCAGTAACATCTCCTTTGTCCCAGCCCTGAAATTTTTTAAAGTGCCATATTCAAGGCTCTTTCAGGGTTAAGAGAATGAGACCCATCATTGTTACTGGTATTTGGCATATTGGGTACGCCACGGGGAGTTTGCCAGACTCTGTCGTGTGGGCAGGTTACATTTGGTAGCCTGCCAGGTTGTCCAAAGTAAGAATAAGAGGAGCTGGGTTTCATAGTCTCTGGGTCTTGGCCGTTGATGGGATTACACGGCGTCAGGGGGCCAGTTTTCCCCGGTTTTAGGGAAAAAAACACTCAGCTCCTCCCTGAGATCTTTGCCTTCTCGACCCCAGCAGGCAGGCACTGAGGTACTGCTGCCCCCAGGTGTGGGCAGCGGGAGTGACCAGAGCTGGAAAGGTGCCCCAGGAAGCCTTGTGTCCGCCTTGGGGATCAGTGAATGAATGCACCCACCTCCAGGGTGGCCCCTGCCCCAATTTGGCTGCCCATGTCGGCACAGTGCTGGGTCCTCCCCAGGGGAGGAGCCTCAGAGAGTGGCTTCACCCACAGCCTGGACTCATCTCCTTGCCCTGTTCAGTTGCCCAGAGAGGACACCTGGGGGCCGAGCTGGGTAAATGGGGAAACGGAGCTGGAGATGGCCAAGGCTAGACATAGCCGGACACAGCCAGACACACGGGTCAGATACAGCCACACGGGTCGGATATAGCCAGACACAGATCAGACACAGCCGGGCACAGCCGGGCACAGCCAGACACGGCTGGCCAGGAACATCTGCCCGCAACTGCTTAGAGCCAGCCCAGGACCTTGCACAGGGCTCATCTTGAAAAATCCGTCCATAATTGTGAATTTTATTGATTAGATGGAGACCAAGATCTTCCCATAAAAAATAAATGCCTTTTTTCTTTTAGTAGAATTGGCAATTTGCCTTTCTTTTTATTAATTGAAATAAGGCTGTTCTATTTGAATAGTGTGGAGAGATAAAAACCCCCATTATGCCTTTCCCGTGAATCGTATTTCAGGAAAGTCTCAATAATAGAGCAGCCGCAGAGGCGCAGCGCGTCTCCTTATCTCGTTTCCTCCCTGGTCTCTGCTCTGGCGGCGCTTTTCTCCTCTTCAAGGAGAAAACAGGGGCTGCGGCGGCGACTGGTGCTACTCGGGTTTGGGCTGGGTGTCATCGCAAACAAAGCCCGCATCCGGCAGGCTCCGTGGGCCACGAATGGGTGAAGGGTGGGTCTCAACGTCCTCCGGGTGAAGCAGGGGGCTGGCCGAGATGGGGGCAGGGCGCCCCCAGGACCCTGGCCCGAGGCCGACGACGCCCTGGGCCGTGCAGGGCGCAGAGCAGCCACTGAGGCCGCCGTGCCCCTCTGCAGCTACGACACGCAGGGAAGAGGGCACATCACGTACCAGGAGTTCCTGCAGAAGCTGGGCATCCCCTACAACGCGGACGTGCACCGGCCCTACGCCACCGACTACTTCAACTTCATGGGCCACTTCACCAAGCCCCAGCAGATCCAGGAGGAGACCAAGGAGCTGCAGCGGCGCTCGGCCGAGAAGGCGGGGCCTCTCGGGTGAGGGGCGGGGCTCTGGGAGAGCCAGCCGGGGGCGGAGCCAACGGAGGGGCGGGGCCAACGGCGGGGGCGGGGCTCTGAGGAACTTGGAGGGGGAGCCAATGGAAGGACGGGGGCGAATGGGGGAATCAAGGGAGGGCTTGGGGAACCAGAGGCTCCTGGTGGGGGGAGGAGCCATGGGAGGGGCGGGGCCCTGGGGATTTAGAGGTGCCCGGCTGGAGGAAGGGCCAATGAGAGGGCGGGGTCAAGTGAGGGGCGTGGTCAAATGGGGGCGGAGTCAATGGTGGGCGGGGCTCAGGGACGCCCCACCCCCGCGCTCAGTCTGTGGACTTAGAGGCGCCCAGCTGGGGGTGGAGCCAATGGAGAGTCAGGGGCCAGTGGGGGCGGGGCCCAAGGAGGACTCAAGAAATGCCCAATCAGCCAAGGGAGGGGAGAGATATGGGCGGGGTTGGACTCTGGGGGCTGAGACGTGCCCAGCTGGGGGTGGAGCCAGTGGAGGGGCGGGGCCAGAGGAGGGTGGAGTCAATCGAGGGCGGGGCCAGCGAGGGGGCGGGGCCAAAGGAGGGCGGAGTCGGGGCCGGCCAAGGAAGGACTCCGAGGCGCCTGGCCGCCAAGGGAGGGCAGGAGCCAGCACCGGCCGGGGCTCCGGGAACCCTAGTGACGTGTGTGCCAGCCCGGCGGGCTGCAGGGATGAGGGGTAGGTGAGCCCGTGTCCTGGCAGCAGGCATGTTTCCCCGTGGTGCCCTCCCAGGGCAGCGCCGTGAGGGCTCTCGCTCGCTACTGCGCTGCAGCTCCTGGTGCGAAGTAACAGGCGGCCGGCGGACTCCAGACCACCCGCTACCCCTGTTGCGTGGTTGGAAACTCCCGCAGTGTTTCCCGGCCCTTCCCCGCACCCTGGTGCCCGCTGAGGCTGCATCTGTCTGCCTAGCAGGGGGTGGGACATTCCCTAGGGAGTAATCAGTGGTGGTGGGGGGGACCGTGCCCTGCAACCACAGAGAAGGGAAGACCCCCCAGCCCGCCAGGACCCAGGAAACAGCATTTGCGCACGTGGAACCCTCCGGGCATTGCTGGCCTCAGGAAAAGCCTGTGAAGGTTCAGAGCCAGTTCGTGGAATGGGGCACCCTCTGCCGCCAGGATTGGGGCCTGCCTGCCAGGCCCTGCTTGCGTGGAGGAGCCCTCAGTCCCCGAGCATGGAGCTTGTGGCCAGTGGTTCCAGAGGTCACTGCTGCTCAGGAAGGCTTGCGGTGACATCCAGCGGGGATTTCTCTGCTCATCTCAGGGGTGCCCTTTGGGCCCACACCCTCCTTCCGGGAGCCCATGTGGCTCTGATCCGCGCACCTGTCTCCTGGTGTCCCCACCACAGAGCCGCAGGATGAGGGAACGGCTTCCCAAGGGAGGAGGGAGGCCCGAGTGACCCAGCACCTCCAGCACGGGCACAGGGCTCGGGGCGGCTTATCTGCTGCCCGGGCTCTTGCTGTGGGTCCAGCTGTGACTCGCCCCTGCTGGGGCCTGTCTGAGGGACCCTGGGAATGGGTCATCCATGGTGACATGCAGCAGGCGGGCCATCTGTGGGGCTGTGGGCACCATGGCTATCCGTACACTGTGACCCCACCAAGGAGATCCTGGCCTCCTGAACCACCCGGCAATGCTGCCGCCTTGGTTTTATGAAAACACGAAGCTCCAAGAAAACAAGAAGGGCCCTTGCCTCATTGATGCCTTCGTTCGGGGGCATTAAGTGGCAGACAGCAGAGGTGATGATGAGGAATAGTTCTTATCACGGGTCTGAGTCCAGCAGATGCCAGGGTGGGCAGAATGACACTGTTGTCCAGTGTTTGTGGGCAGCTCCTGCCCCTGGCCATGGGGGGCTGCGGACGGAGGGAGCCGGGTCCCCACCTGTCTTCCCAGCCACCTCCCACCTCTCATCACACACCCTCTTGCTGAATTCCTTCCTCTTGCTGCTCCAGACACACCCAGGGAACTGTCCTCTGCCCGCAGAGATGGTGTGTTTGGCTTTTCTAGAATATTCTCTTCCCACAACCCAGCTTGTGTTGGAACCCAGCAGTGCCCTAGTTCTCTGAAGTGGGGAAAATGACCCCAAAGTCCTGAAAGAACCTCAGTCCCGGGGTCTGTCCATTGCCCACTGGGTCCAGTGCAGAGCGGTCCGTTCGGAGATGTGCACATTACAGACGTGTAATGTTTGCAGACATGTGTCCCTCTAAGCTGGAAGCGTTTCTCCAATTGGATTCAGAGACCTGCAGACTCTCTGTGGGGGGAGCCCCCAACCACCACAGACTTGGTCTCTGTCAGCGGGACCCAGCATGAACAAGTCACCAGGCTTGAGGGGACAATGAGGCACAAAGGGGAGAAGCCACGGGACTGGACATCAGCAGTGGCGAGCATAGAGGGGGCCTCACTTCTTCATCGCACTGCGCTCCGTTCAGTCTCCGCGCTCTGGCCTTGCTCCCACCAGCCCCAGGGCCTTGGCACTGGCTGTCCCGGGCCCTGCAGGGACCTCCAGGCTCCACCCCTGAGTCCTCACCTCTGGCACTCTGGACATTCTCGGTCCTGTCCACGTGCTTCTACAGGCTCACTGGACTGAGGCCCTCCGAGGCTTCCCAGCACGGGTGCCCCTGGAGTCTGAATGAGGAGCCCAGCTGGGAATCGAGGCTCGGCGAGCCCCTGGCAAGGAACGAGTATTTCACCTCCCGTCTCCGTTCTTTCATATCCTCCGTTCCGTTTTGAGAGGAGCAGCTGCAGGAAGAGAAAAACAAGAGCAGGCGGCCATTTCTTTAGTGTGCTTTTGCTCGCGCCAAGGGATCGTGGCTCACGGTCTCTCCCAGGCCGCCCTTCCCCAGGGACGTCCCTCCAGGGCCTCGGAATGCCCCCCCCGCTGGGCGCTCACTGGGCAGGGTCCCCACTAACCCGGGCAGGAACCCTGGGCCTTGGCGCCAGAGTCTGTTGGCTTGGCGGGGCCCTGCGCATCCCTGAAACGCATTTCCTTCCAGGGACCAGCTCAAGGAGCACCGTCAGGATATCTGCAAGGCCTTCAGCAAGCTGGACCGGTCCAAGACGGGCGGCTGCGTGTCCCTGAGCAAGCTGCAGAAGCTGCTGCAGGAAGGCGGCTGCACGCCGAGGGAGGAGGAGCTCACCCAGCTCCTAACCAGGTCTCCCTGCCCTGGGCTCGTGGCACAGTGCTCCCGGCCGCGGCTCCGTGTCTGCGCGTCTCTGCCGTGTGGCTTGGCCTCTGCCCCTCTGCGTTAGGGCCCAGTCACCCCAAGATGGCCGGCGTGAGCCCGCGGAGTGAGCCCGCGGAGCCTCCTTCCCTGCTTTGCCCGCGAGGCTTTTAATGCAACCCCCACCGTGCTCCCAAGCCCGCAGCCGCCAGCCTGCACCCCCTCGCCCTCGCCCCTCGCCCTGCTTTTCCAAGACGGGCACAGGCAGACTCTGAGCAGGAGATCGCCGGACTTTCTCCCAGCACGCAGCACACCTTGTCCCCCCCGGCCGGTGCCTCCCGGACACCTGCGAGTCCCACGCTGAGATCGTAACTGGGGGCTCCGTTACGGGGGTCCCCGCAGGCGGCTCCTTTTCCCTGTCCCAGGCAGTGATTTGTCTTCCCCCGGTGGTGGCGGTCGCGGCTGGCTGTGTGTGCTGAGGCTTCCGAGTGTGATTCTCTCTGATGCTGACTGGCTCCCCTCCCCGGGAGCCGGACACCCGCTCTCTCCCCGTCTCCCCGCGACTGTTCCTAGTCTTGCTGGGCACTGCCTAGAGCCATCCAGGGCGGTGGGGTGGTGTTCCCGCGCTGTGACTGTCCACTCACTCTTTCCTGTGTCACCCCCCCGGCTCTTTGGCTTCACCCCTGCTCAGACCCGCCCCGCCCTCCGTGGAGCCTGGCACATCGAGGTTTAGGTTGGGAGGGGTCGGAACCAGCGTCCTCCGTCATTTCGGAAGATCGCCGCCCGCCGTTGGCTGTGAATGTGTCTTCCTGCTCCCCTCCCACTCCTGGCACCCCAGTCCCGTGGATATTGTGCTTTTCAGAATCGCACCCCTGGAGCTGGGGGCGCCCGTGGTCCCTCCGTTCTCCCTTTCCTCCCTGCGTCCCGCCTGGCCACCTCCCTCCACCACACGCTGTCTGCCGAGCCGTTCCAGGAAGCCTTCACCTCCTTTCGCTGTTGTGGGCTTGATCCTGGGATTGATTCCGTCTTTCAAAGCTCCCCTCTTGGGTGGAGGGCTAGTACAGCAGGTAGGGCATTTGCCTTGCACACAGCGAACTCAGGGTCCATCTCTGGCACCCATATTGGCCCCTGAACACAGAACCAGGAGCGAGCCCTGAGCACAGAGGAGCGAGCCCTGAGCACCGAGCCAGGAGTCAGCCCTGAGGACTTCCAGGTGTGTCCACCAAAGCAAAGAGTTCTTCTCTCTCTGCTTTTAGTTCTTTCTCCCTTTTCAAAGCACTTTAAGTTAGAAAGGAAAGTAATCAATTTACATTCCGCATGTCATACGTACACATAACAAATAAACATGTTTTATGTTTATTCTGTGAAGACTTTCATATATAATATTAACCCAGGGAAGATAGAAGTTCAATTTAATATTAATAAAATACCACTTATAATAACTAAACTACACATTCAGTTTAGTTGTATTTCTTCTTTTTTTTTTAAATTGAACCACCATGAGATACAGTCGCAAAACTGTTCATGGCCGGGTTTCAGTCATACGATGTTCCAACACCCGTCCCTCCATCAGTGGACATTTCCCACCACCAAAGTCCCCAGTTTCCACCCCACCCCACCCCCAGCCTGTGTCTATAGCAGGAACTTTCCTCTCCCTCTCTCTTTCTCTCTTCCTCGCTCTCCCGCTCCCCCCTCCTCTCCCCCTCCCTCCCTCTTTTCTCTCTCCCCCCCCTCTGTCTCTCTTCTCTTCCTTTCTCTCCATCTTTCTCTCTCTCTCTTTCCCTTGTTCTCTCCCTCTCTCTCCCTCTCCCTCTCTCTCCCTCTCCCTCTCTCCCTCCCTCTCTCTCTCTCTCCCCCCCCCCCCCTTTTGGGCATTGCGGTTTTCTGCTTTTATTTCTCATCTGTTCTCGTGTGTTGTCTACAGTATTTTAAATTCCCAGTCTGATCAGTTAAAATAGACATTTCCTGTCTGCGCCTCTCCTGCTTTCCCTTTCAGATGGTGTTTTTCTTGCTGCTTAATGTGCGTCCTCCTTTGTGCCATTGAGAGCCAGGCATGCCGTGTCCATCCGACTGTGCGGCTTTGGGGTTTTGTTTGTTTTAATTCGGGCCTTAACGGGCGGTGCTGGGGCTTCCTCCCACTGTACCGCGGGGTCGCTCCTGGCAGGGCTTGGGGACCCCTCGGGCTGGGCTGAACCTGGGTCAGGCGCGTGCGGGCCAACACCTGCTGCTGCCATGGGGGTCACCGTGTGTCGCCTTGTGCCTGCCTCCCAGGCGCTGCCAGGGCCCCGGCCGCCTCCAGCGTCCTGCTTCCGTCTCTCTCGCGTCGGGCGTTCCCTGTCCCTCCCGTTGGCTGGGCCGTGTGCTGCCCCCGTTGCTCTTCTGCCCAGCCCGGGTGACCTGCTAGGAGGATGAGCAGAGGATGTGCAGAGGGACTCGGCCTGACCGCTGACTGCGGCCTCGGCAGAGGGACCTCCTCCCCCTTTTCCCCCACTTGGGTGAGGCGGGCAGCTGGCCGGCCCCGCTCCCTGTGGCCGTGGGGGGACCCGGCCTCCCTGCAGGCCTGTCGCTGTCCTGAGGGGAAGCCTCGGAGTCCCTGGGACTCCCAGGGTGGGGCCCGAGTGTCCGAGGCTCACCGGGCCTCGCCGCACGTCGTGTGAAGACGACCTCCAGGGCCCGTCAGGGGCAGTTGTGGTTCGCGGTCCCCGGGCTGGAGAAGCTGTGTTCTGTCTTAGCAGCCCCTGGGGACTCTGCAAGGCCGGACCCTTTGCTCCCCATTCTCTCTCCCGGCCACTAGCCGCCACCCTCAGGCCTGCGGCCCACCCAGGCCATTCCCTGCTCCCCTGGCAGGGGCTGAAGCTATGTCCATGGTGCGCCAGGCGAGCAGCCTCTGTCCTCTCGGCAGCCACCTTCTAACCGGGTGGGGTGGGGGCGGCTGGTGTTGCCTGCCGGGGCCGTGCCCAGGGACACGAAGGGGCATGGACCAAGCGCCACTGCTGAGCGGTCACTGTCCAGGGTTTGGCCCCCCTCGGCGTCTCTCCTCTGTCACCCTCTGTCCACTTCCCCCGCGGCCCCCCTCTCTCTCACGTCCCCCCATGCACTGGCCGTGTGCTGGCAAGTGGCTCCAACCCCACTCCCCACGTCTCTGCGTCTCCGCTGCTTTCCCGGGTTCTCTGTCCAGGTGCTCCCACCGCGAGGCCTCCCGGAAGGACATTCCCTGGCCCTGGCCGCGTGCGTCTCTTCTCCCTCACGGGATTATCACGTGTCTCAACATCACCCGGGGAGGGATTCATCTGAGCAGGACCAGGAGACAGCGGGGGAAGCCCAGGGCGGCCCGCGCCGGTGTGGCCTGGGTGTCTGTATGTCTGCACACGTGTGCGCCCACATGGGTGTATATCTGCACGCACATGCCTCCGGGCCTGTGCACACGTGGCATATCTGTAGGTGTCTGCATGGGAGTCCGTGTGCGCGTGTTTGTGTACATGGAGGTGCACAGAGAGATGTGTCTAGAGTCAGGCGTGTGCATGTGTGTCTGTGTGGGGCACGTGTGCATATATGGTCGTGGGGGGGAGGGGGCACATCCTTCCTCACGTTCTGTCTGTTCTTCCCTTCCTGAAGCAGAGCTGCCCCTCACCCCCACGTCTATTCTCAGCTGAGCAGGAAAAATAGAAAATGAAAAAAAAAAACCCGCAGAAAAATAGCAGCAGCTCAATAATTAGGGAAACGGTTGCACGGGAGGCCTGTCGGAGCAGATGCTGTGTAAACAGTGCGAGAGGTCCCCAGTCTCGGCGGCTCCCGGCGCGGGGCTCTCGGCCTCTTCGGGGGTGGACCCCAGCTCAGCCCCTCCAAGGTGGCTCTGCGAGAGCCTCTCTGTCACCAGCGGTTACGAGGAGATTGTTCTTTGCTCGGTCCGATGCGGACTTTTCTGAGTAACACCCAGACCAGCACACGCACTGGCTCTTGCTCCCGGCCTTGGTGGGAAGTCGGCTTTGTAGCGCGTGGGTATGGTGGGGCCCCCTCACGGCTCCTTCCCGCTCCCCGAAGAGCCTCTGAGCCTCTAGACTGAGCCTCTAGAAACTTCTCTTTCCGGTGTCCCTGCCTGTCTACTCCCCTCCTGCCAGAAGAAAGTGGGCAGTGAGGGAGGTCCGGGCCCAGGAGTCCCTGGGGGCCCTGAACCCCCAACGCCTCGTTAGGTTCTTTCCCGCCTGACGGATGGGCTGTTCCCAAGGGGCTTTGGGGTTCAGCAGTCACTCCTGGGAACTGGGATGGGAGTGGGTGGGGGCCTCTGATGGCTCTTTCCTCAGATTCTGCTGGTTCCCGCCCTCCCTTCACCCCACACTGCTGCCCTGGCGCTTCCTGGTCAGGTTCACCTGCTATCCCGTGCCTGCTGCCCTCTGTCCTGCAGGACCGGCCACCCCCTGCCTGGCCTCGAGTCCCAGGGCCGCCGGGAGAGCCCCAGGCACCTCAGGGTGCTGGTGCCCGTAGCAGCACCGCGGGTGGGGGCCACAGTTTTACAGAGCAGAGGTGTGACCTGTCGGGGTGAGTGACCACGTCGGCGTTGGCGTTTTAATCGAGAGTTTCTTTCCTTCCCCAGTTGGGGCGTCAGCTGGAGCCGGAACGCCGTTAACTACCTTGACTTCTTGAAGGCACTGGAGAACAGCCGGCCGGCCACACCGGAGCCCAGGGACGGCCAGGAGCCCGGAGCGCAGAGGGCAGCCGGGGACGGCCAGCAGCTGGACTTTGCGGGGCTGGACCCAGAGGACATTGTGAAGAATGTCCAGCAGGTGGTGGCCGCCGCTGAACTGGCCATGGCAACGGTAGGTGCCTCCCACCCCACCCTCATGCCCACTTCCAGGGAAATGGGAGCTGGGCTTGTGGGACCCTCCCCCTGCTCTCCTGGGGGGCTGGTGTCAGGAAGGCCAGGCCCACCTTGTCCTTTGGGCAAGTGGGTGTCCGTTTCTGGAGGACCGAAAGCTCCCAGGCTGCCCCCGGGGGAGCTCTGAGGCGGAGGGGCCGGTGTCCAGAGGAGAATGGGGGCCCTGGAAGCACCGAGGATGACACTCGTTCTGGGGCTCAGGCCCATGGCCATGAGCGACAGGAAGTGGCCTTGGGGAGGCGGGCAAGGCCCGGCCTAGCCAGGCACAGTGGAAAGGAGCAGGGGGTCAGAGGGTCCCCGGAGCCCACTGACATTTGCTGCCTGTCCAGACGCCCCAGTGCAGCAGCCATCCAGGGTCTGGAATTCCACGGGGGACAGACATTGGGGACAGACCCAGACGGGACCCACCAGCAGCAATGCAGTGGGGCATTCTGGGGTGTGGGCTTAGTGGGTGTTCGTACTTGGGTGCTCACGGGGTGCCACAGAGAGCTGGGAGGGCCCTTCGGAGCAGGGCCCCTGCACCCCGGGGTGACCATCCCAGGCCCCTCTGTGCTGAGCAGCGGCTCACAGACACGGAGCTGCTGAGTGAGGGGGAGAGGAGGGGGCTCTGGGGGCCGCAGCGCTCAGGCTGAGCCCCCCGCCCTGTGCCCCCACCAGCTGGTTCCTCTGTGGTCTTCAGCCGCGCATGCTGGGTCCCAGCAGGGCCTGACTTGGGGTCTGCACGCGCGGTGAATTCTTCCTGGAAACCACCCCCCGCCCAAGCCCTGAGCCCACCACTCGGTGCAGATTCCCCAGCCCACCGCGATGAACGGCGCTCTCCCGACAGATGGGGACTGTGCTGGCTTTTTATAGCGCGCTCTTGCACTTTTCCAGTTGGGAGCCGTGCGGGTGGGCGTGGCGCCGTCTGGCCCGGCGGGTGGGGAGCAGGGGGGCTTCCGGAGACCGTGAGGATGAGTCCCACCCGCTCCGCCAGCCACCGGGGGGAAGACCCGGGTCTGGGGGTCCCAACCCTCGAGCCTTTCTCCTCCGTGGGGGGCCCGGGGGCATGGGAACCCCTTCAGAGACGGGCCTGTTTCCTCCCTTCCTCTTCCTCTTCCTCTTCCAGCAGGCATTTCCCATAATGCGGAACATTTGCTTTTACCATTTTTGAATTGGAACATCAGAATTTATAATATCGTGAATTATGCTTTTATTTAGCGGGCTGGAGTGATAGCACAGTGGTAGGGTGTTTGCCCTGTGCGCAGATAGCCTGGCTGAGCCAGGTTCGATTCCTCCGCCCCTCTCAGAGAGCCTGGCAAGCTACCTAGAGTATTCAATATGCCAAACACAGTAACAACAAGTCTCACAATGGAGATGTTACTGGGCCCGCTCGAGCAAATCGATGAACAACGGGAGGACAGTGTTTCTTTTTTTGAGGGGGGTCACACCTGACAATGTACAAAGGTTCCTTCTGGCTCTGCACTCAGGAATTCCTCCTGGCAGTGCTCAGGGGACCCTATGGGATGCTGGGAATCGAATCGGGTCGGCCGCGTGCAAAAGGCAAACGCCCCACCCGCTGTGCTACCACTCCAGCCCCTGTTTCATTTTCGGACGGCACTCAGCTGGGCTCAGGGCTCACTCCAGGCCGGCCACGTGCCACCAGGCGCCCTCCCCACTAGGCCGTCTCTCTGGCCCCTCACTGTGCTCTCCGTGCATACATGACCCCCATCCAAACCACGGCCACAGTGCCGACCCCGCCCAGGGTCTCCAGGACCCTCCACATAAGCTCAGGTCTCCGGACAGTTCCCGTCCCCAGGCCTCTGCCCAGTGCTGCTTTCTCACAGATGCTTCTTTACAGCCCGCACAGGAGAAAGTTTTTTCCCAAAAAAATTATTTTGGAGGTGGTGCCATCTACACACATATGCATGATCCAAGCTGGACGCCGAGAATTCCACCAAATTGTAAATCAGTGATTGATAAGTTGTTTAAAAAATTAATAATTGTCAAGAACTATCTGCCTTTCCCTTTTATAGGTATATAGATGTTCAAAATTAATAGTATAACTATAGTTCTTTGCTAGCCCAGCAAGCTACCGAGAGTATCTCGCCCGCACGGCAGAGCCTGGCAAGCTCCCCGTGGCGTAGCCGATATGCCAAATACAGTAACAACAAGTCTCACAATGGAGACGTTACTGGGCCCGCTCGAGCAAATCGATGAACAACGGGAGGACAGTGCTACAGTGCATAGTTCCTTGCTAATACTTTAAAAATGAACATAAAATAAAAGTTGGAGCCATAGCCCAGCGGGGAGGGCGTGTGCCTGCACACAGCCGACCGAGGTTGGATCCCCAGCATCACATTGGGTCCCCTGAGCACCGCCAGGAGTGATTCCTGAGTGCAGAGCCAAGAGTGACCCCCGAGCACTACTGCGTGTGACCCAAAAACCAAAGATCAATAAAAGTGGCAAGAAATAAGTCCTACGAACGCACAATTTAGAAAGAGTAAAAAGGGAGAATTAAAAAAAAAAAAGAATTAAAAATGTAAGGGACTTTCCTCGTGTTCACACGCCTTCCAGGCGCAGATCTTACTGTCCGGTGTGCATGGACGGCCCCCCAGAGACCCCCCCAGGCTCCCCATCACGGCGTTTGTACTCAGCGCAGGAAGCTGGACACTCAGACATACGCCTGACAACAACATCTGCCTTGTGTTGTTTTTTTGTGCTTTTTATCTTTCCAGGCGTTTTTTGCGTTGGACAGCGAGGACACTGGCTTTGTGACAGACGCTGACTTCGGGCAGGTTCTGAAGGATTTCTGTCCCAACCTCTCTGATAACCAGTACCACTATTTCCTGAGGAAACTAAGGCTTCATCTCGCCCCTTCCATAAACTGGAAGTATTTTCTCCAGAACTTCAGCAATTTCCTTGAAGAGGTGAGGAAGTCGGAGACGCCTGTTTGGGGAGCGGACTGGCGTCGGTGGCGGGAGAGTGGACGCCCCCACGAAATTGCGTTGACCTCCTTCATGTGTCTTCAGTTTGGGGGCCACACCTGGCAGTGCTCGGGGCTCTGCACTCACGCCTGGCAGGCTTGGAGGACAAAGTGGGTGGGGCTCGGGGATTGAACCCGGGTCAGCTGTGCGCCAGGCAAGTGTCCCGCGTGCTGCGCCGCTCAGCCCTGGGCTCCTTGCGGGCTCGTTGGAAATGGAAAATGAGCATTAATGTGGCAGCGTCTCAAGGCCAGCCTGTGTCTCTCACCCCTCTGAAGAGCTCGGGGGCTCGGGGGTGTTTGTCTGTCTGTCTGGGGGCTAATCCCAGCTCAGTGCTCCAGAGGGGACTGGGTCCAAACCCAGGTGTCCCCCGTGCCTGAGAAGAGTGAAGGCATCCCGAGGACCGGCGGGGCCCTTGCCTGCTGACATGCATTCCCAGGACTCAGGTCCCAGACGGGGGTGCGGGGTCCAGAGAAGGGAGGCCTGTGCCTGCCGCTGGAAGTGGGCAGTCACGGCCGCAGGAGAGGTGACCATGGAGCTGGCCATGCAGCTCGGGGCCTCCGGAGAGGGTGCGCCCGCCCGGGCCGTGGGCAGCGCCTCTGTTTGTTCTTGGGGTGTTTCTCAGCCTCTCGGTGTCAACGGACCAACCCCGTTAGCAACCGGGTCACGGCGTTCCAACCGACGCAGATTCCTGGGGGAGGGGAGAGCCAGTGTCCCAGGGCCGCCTTCGGGGGCCTCTTGGCCCCTCACACACGCGGCACAGACGTCCGGGCGCTCAGGAGTCAGCCCAGAGCAGAGCGAGGGCTGGGGCAGGGCCGGGGGCAGAGGGGCTGCCCGGACCCCCTTCCCTTCAGAGGGCTCCTCAGCTCCCGACCCAGCACACATGGGCTGGGCCTGGGCTGCAGGGACGGAGTGAAGGCGAGCTCGGGCACCGCTGGCCCCAAGCGGCGACTCCAGAGCCCAGCCAGCTCCTCCTTCCTCCTTCCTCCTTCCTCCTTCCTCCTCCCTTCCCTCCTTCCTCCCTCCTTCCTTCTTCCCTCCCTTCCTTCCATCCTTCCTCCTGCCTCCCTTCCTCCCTTCCTCCCTTCCTCCCTTCCTTCCTTCCTTCCTTCCTTCCTTCCCTCCTTCCTCCCTCCTTCCTTCTTCCCTCCCTTCCATCCTCCCTCCTTCCTCCCTCCCTCCCTTCCTTCCTCCCTCCCTCCCTCCCTTCCTTCCTTCCTTCCTTCCTTCCTTCCTTCCTCCTTCCTCCTTCCTTCCTTCCTTCCCTCCTTCCTCCCTCCTTCTTCCCTTCCTTCCTTCCATCCTCCCTCCTTCCTCCCTTCCTTCCTTCCTTCCTTGCTTCTTCCCTCCCTTCCTTCCTCCCTCCCTCCCTCCCTCCCTTCCTTCCTTCCTTCCTCCTTCCTTCCTTCCTTCCTTCCTTCCTTCCTTCCTTCTTTGCTTCTTCCCTCCCTCCCTCCCTCCCTCCCTTCCTTCCTTCCTTCCTTCCTTCCTTCTTTGCTTCTTCCCTCCCTTCCTTCCTTCCATCACCGCAGGGTGGGGGAGGGAACTTTCCATAGTGTCGCCTTGTTTTCAGAAAATCCTTCCAGTTTCGCGTGTCTTTTAAGCCCCGAAAGTGCCTTGTCGTTGCCGTCTGTGAATATAAAAATAACGCTCCGAGCAGAAATAGAGGTGTGTGTGTGTGGTGTTGTTTTTTTTTTTTAAAGACACAGCAGCAGCACATGCCACCACCCTGCTTTATTGCCATGGAAATAACGGGGCTTCTTCACAGAAACCTCCGAGCTCTGTGCCGTGACCGTTCAGTCATGTTCCAACCCGCGGAGCCGGGAGCCTGCCTACCTGCCTTCGTGTCCGTGAAGGGTGCCCTGTGGCTGCAGGGTGGCTTCCCGGGGGCACCGTGCCACCCCATGCCCGGCCAGCCGTGGGCCGCTCCCCTCATTTTATTTCCACTGTTGTTGGCGACCCCGACTTAAGCTTGGGTGCTCGGGCCGTCGGGATCCATGAGACCATCCCCGAGCGGGAACATAGCTGTGACCCTGCTCAGGACGGCAGGACGAGGGAGGCTCCGGGTGCCCGGCCTGAGAGCCACACACGCCCCCAGGTCACTCCCACTCGCCAGTGCAGCCCTTGAGGGGGCCTCGGGCAACCCCCACCCCCAGCCCCCCGGGCACCATCTGAGCGGCCTCCCGCAGGCAGAGCCGTGGGGACCCCCAGAGCCCGGCGGGCGGCCGGGCATCCCGCGAGCAAGGCTGCACCTTGTGTCATTGGCCCTGTAGACGCGCCCCTTCCCCCGGGCGCCCTCCGGGCGTTCTCCAGACTCACTCACGCTGCTCGTGGGAGGTGGCCGGGCGGACCCCCACGTTCGCGTCCGGGAAACGGCCCCTTGAACAGGGTCAGAGGGTGACTTCACCGCTCCCCTTCGAAGCAACTTCACGGGAGCAGGGGGTGGCAGGGCTGGTGCCTGATGGGCGGGGAGCTGGGGAGGAGCGGGGAGGGGGCGGAGGGGAGGGCTGGGGAAGGGGAGGGAGGGGCCGGGCCCTGCCCTGGTCTGGAAGGACCTGCTGAGAACCGGCCGCAGTGGCTGTGGGCCTGGGAAGGGGCCAGCCGTGAGTAGGAACCGCACACACGCGTGTGTCTGTGTGACAGGCAGTGTGTGCACATGTGTGGGTGCGCGTATGCATGTGTACACGTCATGTGTATGTGCGTGTGTGCATGTCTGTGTGTATATGTGTGTGCATGTGTACACGTGTGCATGTGTGTTCGTGTGCGTGAGTGTGTGTGTGTGTGTGCGCGCACACACGCAGGCCCCTTGTGGAGAGATGCCTTGTGCGGGGAGGGGTGGACGGCAGGGTGGTCACTCCCGTCTGTCCTGGCCGTCACAGGCCCAACTGGTCAGTGTCCCTGTGGGTGGGGGAGGGGCATGCTGGCCACTCCGGGAGACAGATCCTGACCTCTCTCAGTTCTACCTGTTGGGACTGACTCCAGAAAGTTTGAGAAAGTTCGACCTGGCTAGGGCTGGGCTGCAGGAGGCACAGCGAGGAGTGACTGCCTGTACTGGCGCTCAGTGCCCCAGTAGTGGGTCTCATTGAGCCTTGATTCTGTTAAGTCGAAGCCTTCGGAAGGAAGTTCTGGAATGTTCAGGGTCCCGCCAGCCCTTGCCCAGAAGGAAGACTGTGTGCCAGGGGTTCCGGATTAGGGGCTGGTCTTGTGCCAGGAAAACGGGGTTCCAGGGTCACTGCCTCTCTTCCACAAGCAGCCTTGGGGCTCCTGTCTGCGGGAGGCAGTGGCGGGTGGGCTCACGGGGCCGGGGTCACCCCGCACGGTCTCCCGTGCACTTTCCCTCCCATTTCTCCATGTTTTAGCCTTTTTTATTTTTTATTTTTTGACAGGCAGTTTTGCCGCTGTTGTTATTTTTAGCATTCATTTATTCACTGTAAATACAAATGAAGATACAGTACAATTAATTTCTTTGCTAATCAAAATATTTGATCAAATGAAGCAATTTTTCAATTCCTGGAAGTAATTATACTGTTCTTGAAAAGGAAGCGGAGGGCTTCTGCACCGCGCGTTTCTAATTAGGCGCTGTGCTACCTGCTGGGCGCCTGCTCCGGGAGGCTTCGGACGTTCCAGGGACACGCGGCGGCCTCCTTCCGAGCGCCGGAGCCCGGCGTGGGGAGGGAACCGTCCTTCCCGCACGCCGGTCTCCTCGCTCCAGCTGGTCGGCAGCCGCCACTCGGGCCACCCCGAGCACTGTGCCGTGAGCTGGGGACACGGGTGGCCAGCCAGCTGCAGGCACTGGCCTGGGGCGCAGCGTGGGCCCCGCGCAGTGAGGCGACCCTCTGTCCCCGCTTCCTTCCTGCCCAGCCCCCCGAGCCTAGAAGTGACCCTTAGCCACCTCGACGGCTGTGACTGCTGATGCAGTCAGCAATGGGGGTCCCCCCACGGCCCCTAGTCCCGCCATAACCCATAATCACCATGGCAACGTGGGCTGGGGCTGGGTTTTGTTGATTTTGTTTGATGATTTTTTTTTCTTTTTGGGTCACACCCGGTGGTGCTCGGTGGACCCTATAGGATGCTGGGAATCGAACCCGGGTGGGCCGAGTGCAAGGCGAACGCCCTCCCCGCTATACTATTGCTCCGGCTCCATCGTTTGTTTTGTTTGGGTGGGTCGGGGGTTGGTCATTTTCACTTGAATCCAGCCGCTGTCCTGGTTGGTTGTTTTTGATATTTTTCCCAGTTTCATAACCATATCTCCGACACTGAGCCTTCGCTTGTATCCCCCGAGACTGTTGGTGTCGTTTTCTTCCTTCGACCGGAGCCCCAACAAGTGCCCGCAGAGGGTCCGACTCTCTCTCACAGAGACGCTTCCCACCCCTGAGCCAGCCTGGCCCCCGCGGGCCGAGGTAGAGCGCAAATCAGAGGAACAAGAGTGGGTGCTGGGGCCCAGCCGCGGCCACCAGGCGGCCGGCTGGCCCGTGTCAAGGCCTCGCTGGAGCTGCTGTGCGCGGCCTTCGCTGGCGACAGAGGCGCCAACTCCGTGTTTCTACCTTTCCTGCTCTCACTGTTTCACGGATGGGCCACTGGCCTACAGGAGTGGGGGGCTCTAGGGGGCCAGCCTTGCCCTTCTGGTGTTTGGCACTTTCTCCTGGCTCTGCGCTCAGGAATCACTCCTGGCGGTGCGCCGGGGACCCTATGGGATGCCGGGGATCGAACCCGGGTCAGCCGTGTGCCAGGCAAATGCCCTCCCTGCTGTGCTCTCGCTCCGGCCCCCAAGTCTGGTTTTCTTTCTCAAGGTGTCTTTATCGCGTTGTGGCAGTAGGATGCTGGCCGTGGTTTTCAGGTTTATCGGTATCTTGGGTCCCAGCGGGGCTTGGGATTAATCTGGCTGGTTGGGGGGTGAGGACAGCTCCGGAAGGTCACGTCCTCCCGTCGCCCACGGTGGTGCAGATTTTAACGGCCTTTGCCCTTTCTCTTGGGCTTCCCTGCCCCGGTTCGGGCTTTGCTAATGGAGGCTGAATTTTGGCATCTCCGTTCCTGCACCGCGTGTTTCTAATTAGGGCTGGGAAACGGTCCCCGTTCCTGGCACAGTTTGCACGACTCCCTGCTGGGGGCCCGGGCCCGGCCTGCTCGGGAACAGGAGGGAGGCGGAGGCCGGCCCAGCCAGCCCAGCCTGCACGCTCCCTCCTGCACGGGGCGCCTCTCCCTGCTCCGGCCGGTTCTGCTCCCTGGGGACAGGGGTGAAGGGAAGGTTCGGAGGTTCATCCCAGAGAGCGTCTCTCGGGTCAGTCTCCCGTCCCCGGCCGTGGGGATGGAACGAAAGGTGCTTGGCTGCGGGGGGGGGGGGATGGGGGGTGCCAAGGGCCAGGCTGCCCCATGGGTCTGTGGGTCCAGCTCTACTGCGCCGTCTCTGCCCGTGTCCACTGGCAACTCTCCGGACACAGCCACACCCAGTCCCCACTTCTGTGAGTCCACACCCCGCCCCGCAGGAAGTGGCCCTTCAGCGCTGGGCCTCAGCTAGCCAGTGTGGGGTGCTGCAGGCGCGCCCCCCACCCGGCTCAGGGGGACAGAGGAGGGACAGCTTCCTGTGGGCGCCAGAACCCGGCGGGCGGGCAGGGCTCCTGGCGGGGAGCCGCTGCCCAGTGACCGGGCTGTCCTCCTTGGGTCCTGCCCAGAGCGCGGCCGAGTGGGCCGAGAAGATGCCTCGAGACCCGCGGCCCGCCTCGCCCAGGGACCAGGCCCACACGGAGCTGCTGGGCCGGCTGCACCGGGCCGTGGCCGCCCACTTGCACGCCATCACCCAGGAGCTGGAGAACTTCGACACGGCCAGGAGCGGCACCGTGTCCAGGGACGAGTTCCGGGCCGTGTGCACCCGCCACGTGCAGGTGCTGACGGACGAGCAGGTGAGGCGCGGCCGCGGGCTCCTGCCGCCCTCTGGGCTCTGGGTCTCGGGTCGCGGGTGCGGGTTTAGGCGCTGCGTGTTGAAAAGCCGGCAGACTTGGGGCCGAGCGATAGCACAGCGGGGAGGGCGTTTGCCCGGTACGCTGCCGACCCGGGTTCGATCCTGGCATCCCATAGGGTCCCCTGAGCACCACCAGGGGTAATTCCTGAGGGCTGAGCCAGGAGGAACCCCTGAGCATCACCGGGTGGGACCCAAAAAGAAAAACAAAGCCGGCAAACTACCCTCGCCCGAGTTCAGGCTGCACAATGGAAGGAGATGCCCATGGGGGGGCCGGCCAGGAGGAGCCCCCACCCCACCCTCCTCCCGCCCTGGTTCCACTCCACCTTCTCCTGGGCACCCCAGTCCTGAGGGCCCCCGGCTGGACACAGCCCCTTCCGTCGAGCCCACCCCCACCTCGGCCGTGGACATCCTGATCTGGGCCCCCAGGCAGCTGCCCAGCTGTCCAGGAACACCTCCCATCGGCCCGTCCATCTGTCCGTCCATCTGAGCACTGGCCACCCGCCCACTGACCTCATGGCCACACTAGCAGCCCTGACCCTGGGTCACCTGTTCCAAGCGGGCACTCAGCAAGTCCGGGAGAGGGACCCCCACCCCGCCCCAGACGGCTCAGGGCTGAGCGGCTGAGGCACCTCAGGGGTCTCGTGGCAGGTCACTGTGCCCCAGAGGAGTAGCCAGAGTGCCCCCGACACTCCCAGTGCAGGGTGGGGGCGTTGCTCTTCCCCACGCCCCCACCCCGAGTCCTTTCTGTGGTGTCTTGATGCCCGTGAGTGGGAAGGCTGCGTGATGGGCCCGGTCGCGTCCCCAGGCTGGCCTCGGGCGGCACCTTTGTAGTATCTCTGCCCGCCCCGCCCCCCGCAGCGCCTGCAGCCCGTGGGGAGACAGCGTTCCCTTCCTGCGGGTGGGTGGGAGCCCCTGAAATTAATACAGTCACATTATTACTCCATGGGGCCGACTAATAAAGGCTTTACTAATACAGATTTTTCATTTCATCTAAATGAGTAAAATGTGACTCTAATTATAGGTACACGGCGCCCGGTGTGAGGCTGAGCGGGCTTTCGTAGACGGGAATCTGATTCTAATTGTCCACGCAGAAGGCGTCCCCCGCCCCCCGCCCGAGAAGCGCTTATTTTTAAACGCCGCCTTCTGGAAAAGCGGGCGGGAGCAGGGACGCGGCAGGCAGGGCCCGGGGCCTCTGGCCGCGTGTGCCGTGTGGCCCGCTCGGGGCCCCGTGGTAGCGTGTCTTGTGCTCGAGCTGGGGAAGCGCAAGCGGCATCCCTGGGGACCCCGGGCTCCTGAGAGGGTGGGTGGGAAGAAACCCAAGCCCAGCAGAGGTGGCGGGGGGCTTCCCGGGCAGCCCGGAGGGGAGGCGAGGGAAGGGCGGGAGAAAAGTCAGCCTAAGTGGACGAGGAGGGACGGGCCGGGCCCCCAGGGACAGACCTCCCCTCTGGAACGGGTACCCCAGCGACACCCCCCCCACACCTCCTCCCTGGCCTTGTCTCCTCAGGCCAGGTCACCTGCGGCCGCCCCCTCTGCCCTGGCCCTGCCTCTCAGGCCATCCAGCTTCTTGGGAGGTTCTAGCACATTCTTCGGCACCAAGCTGCGTGTCTGTGTGTCTGTGTGTCTGTCTGGACACCCCCGTGAGTACCTGCAGCCTGAAGGACGGGGGCCGTGTGCAGAGGAGACCCTGCCCAGCCTCCTGAGGGGCAGAGGGTGGCGTCCAGGCCCGAGGCCCCTGCGTGGACCTTAAATCTTGAGTTCTGTCCTTTTCCTGGTCCAAAGCTCTCCAGAATTTCTTTTGTGTCGGTGTTAGTGGTGCGCACGCGCATGTGTGTGTGTGCGTGTGTGCGTGCGTGCGTGTGTGTGTGTGTGTGTGTGTTTAGACAGCAGATTGTCTTACCTTTCTCTGAGTCTTCAGATGCATTAGCATAAAATTGTGGGTAATCGCCTCCCGCGTTCCCTTCCTCCCTCCTTCCCGCTCTTGTCCCGGCCTTCCCTCCTGCTCATTCCTCAGAGCCCGGCCCGGGGCTCGGCTGCGTCTGGCTCTCGCCCCGGCTCTCTCCGAGCTTGGCCCCGTGTCTCACCGTCACTGGCTTTGCCTTCTCTCTGGGGGCACGCCCCCCCCAAGGTGGGTGGCGATAGTGGTCCAGCTGGCTCTCGTCGTCCTCTGGGGCCCCTTCTCGGAGCCACAAAGCATTTGGAGATGCAAAAAGAAGCGATTCCCAGACAAGTGGTTTGTTTCAAAGTCCTCGAGTCCCACTTCAGCTCAGAGACAGACGCCTGCAGCCATCGTCCCCCGGGGGTGGCGGGCGCTCGGGGCCCCTTCCCGAACATTCCGGGGGTCCCAGCTTCTGCCCGGGACCACCCCCCTTTGGCCTGCACGGCCGTCCCCCTCCCCGCCCCCCCCACCCCCCCCCCCCGTGTCGGGGCCATTCCTCGTTCCCCTTTTACGCTTTCACTTTGTCTGTCTCCAGTCAGCGTTGCATCGGGTTTTCTGCCCTCACACTGCGTGTGGGCTTAGCGCCCCGAGACCCCTCGGGGGGCCTTTCCTGTCACAGAACCATCTTCTGGGGCCGGGGTCAGCTGGGCCCAGCTGTCTTGGTGTCCACCTGCCTTTTCCCTCCAGCCGTGGCCCGCTGGTGGCCTCCCCAGCAGGGAGCCTTAGACGCAGCCTATGGGTGTCGGGATTGGGGAGGGGCTGTCTGCCAGCTGCCCCCTGCGCGTTGGGGACCGTGGCTCTGTCCCTGGGCAGGTGGTCACAGCCCGAGCTGCTGGCCGAGTGGTGCCGGACGGCGTCAGGGCAGAGCCGTGTCCTGTGCGTGCTCCCGCTGGGCTCCTGGGTCTGGTCACCATCTGGGCCACACCCGGCCGTGCCTGACTCAGGATTGCCCCACCCCCAGGCCCCCGCCCCCTGACACTGACCCCAGCCTCACTCCCCTCCCTCGCCCGGGCTGCCGAGGCGACCAGCCCCGTTGAAGCCGCCCCTGTTTCGTGTGATTTGTTAGGGATGGTTTTCCCGAGGCAACTGTCCATGGTGTGACCCCTGACCCCAGCGCGTCCCCATCACCCTCCCCCCGGCCTCTGTGTCCACCTGGACCCTGACCTGTGTCCACGGGGTACCTCCTGGGGGCCGTGCGCCCGGGGTGACTGTGTGGCCGTGACACCCTGTGCTGGGGACACTGGACAGTGGCCTGCTGCCCCCTGCTGCCCACCACTCTCCCTGATAGAAAGTCTAGAGCCGGCCTGCAGGCGCCCTCCTCGGCCCTCACTGCCCGACTCTGGGCCCACCCGGGGGCGGGTGGCATCCTGGAGTCGGCGTTGGCAGGCCTGGGGACAGAGGGGTCCCGGCGGGTCCCAGGGCACCCAGTTCCACGCTGGACGCAGGTCGCATCCTGTCTGACTGACTCAGAGAATGCTGGGCCGCAAGGTGGACTCAACCCTGGGCCCCTCGCCGACCCTCACTGGGCACTGCCGTTCCCCCCGCCCCCCCACACACACACACCCCTCACCCCTCAGCTGCTGGGACCCGCCTGTCGCCCGTTCACCCAGGCCCCGCTGGTTAGGAGTGTCCAGCGCAGACCTGGGTCAGCCTGGGGCGGGGCAGGGGCCTGTGCCCGCGGCCCGCGCCTGACCGTGTCCCCGGCCAGTTCGACAGGCTCTGGGCCGAGCTGCCGGTCAGCAGCAAGGGCCGGCTCAAGTACCAAGACTTCCTGCGCCGCTTCAGCTCCGACAAGTTCCTGCAGCCCCCGGGCGACTCCACGCGGGCCCAGCGGGGCAGCAGCGTCCCCGACAGCCTCGGCAGTTTGGCCGTGACGTCGCCCGCCGAGCGGGACCCGCGGGCCGGGCTCAAGACGCAGAGTGAACCCAGCGTGAGTGTCCCGGGGCGCGGGCACCCGAAAGGTGAGCAGGAGGGCGGAGGGGGGCCCAGCGCACACCCCTGCCCCGCCCGCTCCCGCCTCGGGCATGCAGGCGCCAGGAGCACCCCCAGGAGTAACCCGAGCCCCCGGGGGTGCCGAAGACGGGGCAGCCGGGCGCCGTCCCCACGAGGGGCCGCGGAGCACAGCCAGGAGTTCGAATCCCGAACGGGAAAGAAGGGGGGTCAGTGAGGTCACCCTGAGCCCTCCGTGGGGCTGGTGAGTGGCAGGAGCCTGGTTCCGGGGGCTTGGGCGGGGTGGGGGGGCTGCTGACAGAGAGGGAATGGGGTGGGGGTGGGGTGCAGATCACGAGTACAGCCAGGGCACACACAGCCCCTGCACACGGGGGCCGCCAGGGGGAGGGGGTCTGGGTCACGTGAAATGCACTCAGGGCCCCCCCCAGAGCTCAGGAGCCAGGGACACCCCCACGACAGCCTCACAGCTCACGCTCACGCCAGGCAGTGTGTGGGGGGCCATGCGGGGCCTGCCTGAGCCCCAGTCCCCCCTGCCCGCCCCCGTTTCAAAGAGGAAATGTAAGAAAACAAGAACTGTGTCCTGCCGGGTGGGGGCGGCCTTAGGAAGGGCGGCTGTGCCCAGAGCGTGTGTAACTGTGCACGCAACACGCACACACGAGCATCTGTGTGCATCTTGCATACATGAGCACACGGACACATGCACTTATACCTATGAACACACACATTTGTACATGTCACGTGTATGAAGACACATTTGTATGTGCGAACACACGCCCTCGTACACACGACACACCTGCCCCCGCACATGTGTTTTGGGAAGGGCCCTTCCTGTGCTTTGTCCCCAAACCATTTGGGGTCCACTGGCCTGGCCCGCCTCGCCCCGGGAGGGAAACCCCCGCTGACCCCTGCTGACGGCGCCCCGCGTCCCTGCAGAGCGCCCTGGGCGCCGCCTCCCTGGCCGGGAGCCTGCAGAACTGCGAGCCCCTGGAGAACAGGCTGCGCCAGAAGATGAGGAGCTGCTGGCGGGAGTTCCTGAAGGACTGCAAGGACAGGGACGCCGACCGGCTGGGCCACGTCAGCACGGCCGACTTCCTGGGTCCGTCCCCCAGCCCGGTAACTCGGGGCCGGCACCGTGCGCACCAGCCCGGGGACAGACAGGCCTGCCCGAGTGCGGCTGGGAAAGGGCCCGAGGGCTGCAGACGGTGGGTGGGAACGGGCCGCCCCCCCTCAGGCTGCCCCCCCAGGCTCACTGCCAGCGTGGAAATCCCCCCAGTTTTACCTCACAGGAAACGGCTTCGGGCCTTGTGAATCTCGTCTGCTGCAAGGCCCCATGACTGGCCCGTTCTTGGTGTTGATTTTTCTTTTTGGGTCACACCCGGCGATGCCCAGGGGTTCCTCCTGGCTCTGCACTCAGGAATTACTCCTGGCGGTGCTCGGAGAACCACATGGGATGCTGGGAATCGAACCTGGGTCAGCCACTTGCAAGGCAAATGCCTTACCTGCTGGACTGTCGCTCTGGCCCCCGGCCCCTTCTTAGCACGCTTATGACCCTTTTCCAGGGGTCAGTGTGTTTGTTTTGTTTCTTTCTGGAGATGCTAATATCAATCAGCTCATGACAGCGGTATAACAGCCGCACTAGGGATGGAGTAAGAGGCCCGAGTAGCCGGGCAGGGAGCCGGGAGCCGGGTCTGCGTGCAGAATCTCAAAGCCGATCAGCAACCTCAGACCCTTCGGACAGACTCAGGAGCACAGGGGACCTCCTCCATGGGGGGGGGGGGGTGATGGGAGCCCCAGGAAAACCTGCAGAGCCTGGAAGCCAGAGACACCCCAGCCCCGGGGGTCATCACAGGTGGGAGTGCACGGAGCCCGGCCCAGGGCTGCCCGAGCTGGAGGCTCAGCGCTGGGCCTGAGGAGTCGCTGTTGGGTCCCGCCTGCATTCTGGGGAACACCCCGGCCACCCCCGCGGTGTTCCAGGGCCTTCGGCACTATGCCCCGCAGTGCTCATCAAGCTGGGTGGTACCAAGGACTGAATTTGGGTCAGGTCCATGCACCATGGCCTGTGCTGTTGCCCTGACCCTGCAGTGATGGCCGGGTGCCAGGCGGCTACCTCCACTGAGACACTGAAACAGCCAAGCAAGCCACTTAGGGGAGAATGGGTAGTGTGTGTGTGTGTGTGTATGTGTGTGTGTGTGTGTGCACGCGCATGGGTGTATACGAGTGTGTGCGTGTGTCAGTGTGTGTGTGCGTACATGAATCTGAGTGTGCATGTGCATGTGTGTACGTATGTGTGTGTGTGCGAGTGTGCGTATGTGTGCATATGTGTGAGTGCGCACGTGCATGGGTGTGTGTTCAAGTGTGTGCATATGGTGTGTGCACGCACTGTGGAATTCTATACCACAGCTTTAAAAAAATTTGTTTTGAAATGAAGGGGGCTGGAGCAATAGTACAGCGGGGAGGGTGTTTGCCTTGCTTGCAGCTGACACGGGTTCGATCCCCGGCATCCCGTAGGGTCCCCCCAGCATCGCCAGGAGTGATTCCGGAGTGCAGAGCCAGGAGGAACCCCTGAGCATCGCTGGGTGTGACCCAAAAAGCAAAAAAAAAAACTTTGAAATGAAAATTTGCAGCAAACTAAAAGAACCTTGAAGGAATTTTTGTAAAGAAAATTAAGTCGGCAGGAGAAAGACGCCGTAATCTTCCCTCCTCGTGCAGTGAGACCGGCTGTGGCAAAGGGGAAGAGGAAGGAAGGGCCGGATGGGCCTCCGGACGCAGCCTGGGGGCGCTGGCCCTGGCCACTTGCAGCCCAGCTGCCCTCTGCACACATGGGTCTTGGCGCCTGCGCTGACGGTCGCGTCCCTCGTGCTGGCTCTGCAGCCCCGCTCACTTGAACCCGCTGCCCAACCTCGTCCTTCCAGGCCCTGCCGGGGGACAGGAGCCCTGAGATACAGGGCGTGCGTCCCCGCCCCAGCCATGTGGCACAGTGACCGCACTGAGATCCCACCACCCCGTCTGTCCTTCCGTCCTGTCTCCTGGGTCTGTCCAGCCTCCAGCCGTGAGCCCGGGGAGCGAGGACCCGGCGAGGGCCGGAAACAGATGAAGGCGCGCCCGGCCCCGGCCGACCCCGCGTCTCTGTCTCTCAGCTCTCGTGGAGAAATACGGCCTGGACGTCAGCAAGGAGGAGAGCCAGCAGCTGGCCGCCAAGTACGACTTCAAGGACAACGGCCGCTTCGCCTACTGTGACTTCATCCAGAGCTGCGTCCTCCTGCTGCGGGCCCGGGAGACGTCCCTCATGCAGCGCATGAAGATCCAGAACGCGCACAAGATGGTACGTGGGGCCGCCCGCTGGAGCCCTGCGTGCCCCCTGTCACACGCACAGGCCCCAGGCCTCTGCCAGCACCTGGGCGCACCTGTGACGTGTGTGCGGCGAGACCCGCGGACACCAAGCTCGTAGCATTGCGTTACCTCCTCCCGTGAGCCAGGCCCGGGCCCTCTAGAGACATGCACGTCCACACACAGGGTGGTCCGTGTTGGTGCGTGTGACGTGGGGGAGCTGGTCTGATGGGGAGGGCTTGCAGGCTGGTCTGATGGCAAGGGCTGCGTGTGGGTCTGATGGCGAGGGCTGTGTCCTGATCTGATGGTGGAGGCTTGCGTGCCGGTCTGATGGTGAGGGCTTGCAGAATGGCCTGGTGGTGAGGACTGTCCACAGACCCCCCACCCACGGATCAGGAGGTCGCCTGTGGGAGCCTCCAGCCTCCGCCTCCCCCTCTCAGCACCTTCCTCATGCCCTGCCCCGTGGGCTTTCGGGGTCTGGTTTGGTTCCAGAAAGAAGCTGGCACCGAGACTTCGTCGTTCTACTCCGCCCTGCTGCGGATCCAGCCCAAGATCATGCACTGCTGGCGGCCCATGCGCAGGACCTTCAAGAGCTACGACCAGGACGCCAGCGGCTTCCTGAGCGTGGGGGACTTCCGCAAGGTACTGCCCCCGGCACCGCGCCCACCCGCCCGGGGATGCTGGGCCGCTCCTGCCACCCCGCGCCAGGCCCCTAGACCCCCAGTGCCGGCCAGGGCTTGACCCCCTCCCCTCCCGAGGCCTTGCCCGGGAGGGGCCGCGGGGCTGAGGACGGCGCCCCCTGCAGGTTTTGCGGCAGTACAGCATCAACCTGACGGAGGAGGAGCTCTTCCACGTGCTCGAGTACTACGACCGGGGCCTGTCCGCCCTGGTCCCCTACAACGACTTCCTGCGCGCCTTCCTCCAGTAGCCGCCGCGGCCGGGCTCGCTCCCAGACCAGCAGAGCATGCCCGGGGCCTTCCAGAACCTTCCCGGCGTCTGCAGCGCCGCATGCGCCCTACCCTGCTGAACCCCGAGCTGGGCGCCGGAGGCCAGGCCTGGTGCCCTGCGCCCCCGCCGCCCGTGGGCACCCCCGAGCCTCAGGCTCCCCTCCCCACGTCATTTGAGCAAATAAAAATATTGATCTTTGCAGGAATGTCTGTGACACTTTGAAAGAGCCGCCGAGGGGACCTGCCTAGGAACTGGGGTGTCCGGAGGTGTGACCTGGCCACCTGTGGACGTGGCAGACATGCCCCAGCGTCATGAGCCCCACCCCCTCCCCACCCCTCGGGAAGCAGCCAGGAGGGGAGAGTCCACTGCCCTCTGGAAGGCTCTGAGGGCCAGGAGCGACAGGCTGGGGAGCTGCCGGAGTGTGTGGCCAGAGGCTTCTAGGGAGAGTTGGGGCCAGTAGCCCCGGGCCCGCGTCAGGACTGCTGAAGCCCCTCCCCCTTAGACCCTGGGAGGCCCCCACCCTGGCAACCCTTCCCATAACAATGGCTGCGAGGTCACTCTTGTCCCCGTGAGTCCTGGGTTTCTGCATGCAGGGAGAGCTGGACTCTCGGGGGACTGGACATGGGCAATGCCACGGGGGCTCCTGTACCCCAGTTGGCTGGGGGGGTGTGAATGGATGGCTGGATGGATGGATGGATGGATGGACGGATGGATGGACAGATGGATGGATGGATGATGGGTGGATGATGGATGGATGGATGGGCAGATGGATAATGGATGGATGGATGGAATTTGGATGGATGGACAGATGGATGGATGGAGACGGATGGATGGATGGATGGATGGATGGATGGATGGACAAAAAGGATGGCTGGATGAGGGATAAATGGACAGATCAGTGGATGATGGATGGATGGACGGATGGGTCAGTGGGTGGATAGGTGGGTGGGTATGTGATTGGTGGGTGGAAGGTTGATTGGGTGGATGGGTGGGTGGGTGGGTCACTGAGTGTTGAGCAGACTGGCAGATGACGGGCCGGTGGCCAGTGAGAGGCCGTGCTGGGAGACTGAGCAGGTCAGTGGACGGACGTGGGGCGGTGGCAGGACTCCGTCGTGTGGGGAGCTCATGACTGGGGCCCGCCATACTCTCAGTTTGGCACGGGCCGGGCCAACCAGGCCACCACCGAAGCCAAGGTCACCTGGGGACGGTGGGAGACGCGGGCAGGTGGGCCCTTAGAACCCCCTGGTCCCCCTCAGGTCCCCCCCGGGTCCCTCCCCGGCGCCACCTGGGGGACACCCACCCCGACACACGCATGCCTAGATCTTCTTACAAAGACTTTATTGTCTGACATGCTTGACAAAAAAACTGACAGCCACGATCAAGTTATGCCAGAATGATGGAGGAGCCGCCGTCTTCACGGCCGAGGACTCGGGATGAATCTCCCTTAAAGGGACAGCTGCGTCATAACTTCTTTGCCACATAAAAATACACCGTATTCTGCAGGTACCTTAGGAAGACCCAGCTCTCTAGATCCTGGTCCGCATAGAAATTCAGAGATGCCCCCACCCACCCCCACCCCGCCCTGTGTGCACGTGTGTCCAACCCCCCCCCCAGAGAGAAGGGCGGGAAGACCTGCACCCACCCACTGGGCCCAGGAAGCGGGGCGGGGGGTCTGGAACAGAACCCGCCAACAAACGGGGCACGCAGCAAGCGCTGGGTGCGGGGCGGGTGACAGGCTCCCGTCCTGCCTCTGTCCCTCTGGTCCCCGCCCCGTCACTGCCTCTCTGGTCTCCCCGTCTCTGCAGCCGGGAGGCAGCTGTGGAGGATGAAGGTGCCCGTGGGGCTGCCCTGGAGGGACGCACCCCAAAACTCGGCCATCGAGGCAATGGTGCTCTTGGAACATAATGTTTGAAAACCAAAAACAGATGCGGGTGGGGGGCGGGGAACCCACAAGGCAGAAAATCTCGGCGTTCAGTAAAGGCAGAGTCGGCCACGGCAGCCTTGGCGCGGGCCCGTCAGATGCAGCCCCCTCCCCCCGCCATCGGGGACGGACAGGGGACCCCGGGGGGAGGGGGGAGGGGACCAGTGCTGGCGTGTCGCCCCCGAGAGGGGGCCGTTGGGGTCGGGGTGCTGGGGGCTGAGGGCACAGCAGACAAACCGGGACTCGCCAGGGAGACCCCCAGGGAGACCCCCAGCCTCTCGGGCAGAACTGGCACTCGGTACAGCGGGAGGGGGCAGGGGTGTGTGTGTGAGTATGTGGGTGTGTGAATCTGAGCGTATTTGTATGTGTGATTTTATGAGGCGCTCTGGGTGTCTCCGTGTATATGTGTATGAGTGTGAGTGCGTGTATATGTGTGAGTATGGGTGTGCGAGTGTGTGCATGTATGTGAGAGCATGAGGGTCTGTCTGTGTCTTCGTGTGTGTACGAGTGTGTGAGTGGATGTGGGTGTGTGAGCCTGAGTGTGTGTGCATGTGTGACTGTGAGCAGGAGGGTCTGTGTGTGTCTCGATGTGTATGAGTGTGAGTGTGTGTATGTGGGTGTGTGCATCTGTGAGCGTGCGCGCGCGCGTGTGACTGTGAGCGTGAGGGTCTGTGTGTGTGGCTGTGGGTGATGTGTGAGGGTGAGGGTGTGTGAGTGTGTGCAGTGTGTTGTGCGTGTGGGGGGGTGATTTTGTACCCACTTGGGTACAGATACATAAAGGGGTCCTGGCTGCCCCAGCCCCCTGTTCTGCAGAGCGCCGGCTTCCACTGAACGAGGCAGGGTCTGGGGACCCCCAGCTGGTCCCGCCTCCCTGTGGCTCCTGTCACCGCCCCCAAGGCTCGGTGTGAGTGGTGGGTGCTGGGCCCACCCAGGCCATAGTCCCTGTCCCTCCAAATGCCCTGCAGGGACCCTCCCGAGGCAGGCGGGGGCCCGGCCAGCTGCAGCCCGAATTCCTGAGATGTCCCTGAACGCCCCGTCAGAGGGTCTCCGCCGAGCGGGCCCCGGGGTGGCCCCCGCCCGCACCCACAGCCAGCCCTCAGCCGGAGGGAGGATCCGTGTCCGGGAGCTGTGGGGCCCCGGCCAAGCCCCCCTCAGCGAGGTGGGTCCAGCGAGGGCCGCGGGGGGGAGGCGGGTGGCGCTTCCGTCCCCGGCGTCGGCCCATCGGCGGGGGGCTCTGCGGGGGGCGGGCGGGCAGTCAGGAGTTCCGGGGCGTGGGCAGATCGATGACGATGGGGGGGTTCACGGGCTGGTAGTTGACGGTGCACACGGAGGCGTTCACGTAGGTGGTGGTGCCATCAGCCATGACCCCGTACCCTGGGGAGCGAGCACGGGCCGGTCAGTGGGGCTGCGGGGCGTGTCCAGGCCCGTGAGGAGAGGTGACCGCGACACGCCTGCGGCACCCCCCGGGCTGTGACCCCCGAGGCTGAGCCTGGAAAGCCCAGGGCGGGCGGCTGGAGGGAGCCGTGAGCGACCCCATCCTGCCACGCGGGGGTCCCCGCACCAGGACCCGAGCCTCGGAGGGGCGCGGGACACCCCCCAGGCCCCCGCCCCGGCCCTGCCCGTCCCGCCGCTGACCTTCGTGGATGTGGCCGAAGACGTGCAGCCGCGGCTGGACCCGCCTCTGCACCGTGTTGAGCAGCTCCACGCAGCCCACACGCTGCATCTTCTTGGGGACCCAGTCCAGGAAGCCTGCGGGGACACGGCAGGCGTCGCCCGCGGCGGCCCCCAAGCCCCAAGGTGGGCGATCTGGAGCCCCCAGCCCCGCCCCTGATCAGCTGACCCAGAAGAGTGAAGCCCCCTCCCCAAAGACCCCTCAAAGGCACACCAAGAGGACCAGGACCGCGGGGGGGACCCTTCCCCGCCCACCCCCCAGGACAGGGGCCCGGCACCCCCCACACCCACCTGGGTGTTCAGGCCCCGCCCCTGCACTGGTCCGTCCTGGCCAGTGGCCACGAGGGCTCCAGTGCAGGACAGGCTGCGGCCCCCCCCCCCCCCCCCCGCCTGCCCCGCGCCCACCTACCCAGCGGCGGCCCGTGCGTGATGAGCACGTCCACACCTTCGGGGATCAGGTTCCATTTCTCCAGCAGCGCTTGGCCCCGCGGGAGGTTGAAGCCCCAGCCGTAGAACCAGGGCTGCCTGCGGGGGGCACAGGCTCAGGGGGGACACGGCTCGGGGGGGGGGGGGACACGGGCTCAGGGAGGGACACAGGCTTGGGAGGGGGACACGGGCTCAGGGGCCAGGCCAGGGCCGCAGGTGGCGGGGTCTCCGCGACACAGAGGTGGCCAGGGTCCGAGTCGGACCCCCAGTCTCAGCCCTTCAGTGTACGGTCACCGCCAGCCCCGTCCGTCACCCCCACCTGCCCCCCCACCGGGGCCCCCAACCTTCCCTGCGGAAAGGGGGTGGGGGGCAGTGTCACTCGAGGGTTAAATCCTGGGGGCCTGGCCTGGTTCCCCCCCTGCTCAGTGTTCCCCAAACTGGGGCCTGGTAACGGGGGGCTGGAGGGTGGTCACCCTGGGGTGCAGGGGAGATGTAGGAACGCCCATGGGTGGAGGAACAGCCCACGCAAGGCCACTCGAGGTGGGCCCTGAGCAGGACAGCGGGGAGGGGTGCGGGGCGGGTCTGCCCGGGGACCCCATGGAGGGAGACGGGGTTCAAGCCTTCACCAGGCTGGGACTCCCCCGACCCAGCATCGCTAGGGATGGCCCCTGTGACTGGAATTGTGGGTGTCCTGGAGATACTGGGTGGCTTCCCCGGGACCTCTAGGATGGGGGGCCACGGGGTGGGGGGGAGTGGGTGAGCCCAGACTGGGGCAGGAGGGCTCTCGGCCTCAGGGGGCCGGGCACGCTGAGCTGGTCCCGCCGGACCTCCCCGGCCCGCCCACGGGGACGGCGAGACCCAGGCCTGAGCCAGGACGCTGGGGACGGCCCTCCGTGCCCGCGCCCCCCGCGGGGCCTGTCCCAGCCCGCAGAGGGGCGCGGGGGGCGGCTGCCCGTCCCGGG